AAGTCCTTTTAGAGTAGAAGAGCTGCGTCCCAATAATAAGCCTACTCTTCCAAGCCTACTCTTCCTTTGGGAAGAGGTCCTTTTTTTTAATCCCTGTGGGAATGATTTGAACTCCCATCTCTGGAGTTAGTACTGAGCTGGAGGAGGCGCAGCTGTCCAACCCTGCGCTCCCTCTGGTTTGTCTGATGAGGGATCTGATGGACAATATGTCTGGGCACTACCCTGATGGTGTTGCTGGGTTCCTCCAGTGCTCCGTATATTTGTGGTTTTGGGCCCCGGAGCATTGGGCCCCCCTGTCCATTTTTTGGCAATGGAGTCCGATGCCTTTCTCCACTATATTGTGGATAAACACGTGGTCCTTGTTCATTTTTTGATAATGGAGTACCCTCTATGGTGGTTTGAGAATGGCATTCATTAGCCCAATGTCTCCTTCTACGGCATCGTGGGCAAATACCCAGTATGCTACTCCTTTGATACCTAGTTTTGTTAAACCCTCCTCCTATGGGGCAATTCCTTTTAAAATGTCCTGTTTGTTCACAATTGTAGCATGTTTTTGGCCTGGCATCTAAAACCTGTTGTACTGCAGCTGCCATGACTTGCCCTTGTTCATTAATATCTTTACATAATTTAAAATATGTGTTTAAATATTCATGTTTCCATGGTCTAATGACTTCTCTGCACCAACAATTCGCTTTCTCATAAACCAGTTGTTTTATTAATGACATTGCTTGTTCTCTATTCCCAAAAACTCTGGTAGCTGTTTGAATAATTCTATCTATGGATTCGACCAAGCTTACAGTGAAGGGTGCTTGAGGACCATAGGTTGTTACAGCCTCTTTTAGCTGCTTTACTTTAGTGATTCATACAAGTTATCACAATTTTATAGGCACTCTTGAAGGACTAATTATTGTAATAGAATTGAGGAAACTGCAGCAGAAGTTAAAGTACTTTCCTAAAGGTTCACAAGTTAAAATGATAGAACTAAGAATCAAACTCCAATTTAACTTCTTTTTAATTGTCAGTGGATATTTATTTATTTATTTATTTATTTATGGTGCTAAGGATTGAACTCGGTGCCTCACACATGGTAGGCAGCAACACCAGCCCAATGCAGATTTGATCCTGAAGTCTATTTTGCAGTTTATTCTGGACATTGATAGGAACTGTAACCTATATCTTTAAAAAATATTGTGAAAACTGGAATTATTTTAAATAAAATATATTTGAAAATAAAGGGACAGTGGTACATGTTTAAGAATTTATTACCAGTTTTAGATGGGGAATTATCTTGAATTCATGTTAAATTTGAACTGAAGTGTGATTTCAGAACTTCGTGATACTTGGAAGAATTTATTTTCATATTTTCAGTACTGGGAATTGAACTCAGGGGTGTTTACCTATTAAGCTACATCCTTGACTCTTTTTTATATTTTATTTAGAGATAATTCAGTTAGGCCCTAAGCAATTCAGCAAGAACCTATCTCTAAATTAAGAGATAGGTTCTTGCTTAATCCTATTAAGCTACATCCTTGACTCTTTTTTATATTTTATTTAGAGATAGGTTCTTGCTGAATTGCTTAGGGCCTCACTGAATTGCTGAGGCTGGCACTAAATTAATGATCCTCCTATGTCACCCTCATGAGCTGTGTGTGCCACTGCTCCCAGCCCTTTATTTTTTGTTTTGAGACAGGGTCTGACTAAGTTGCCCAGGCTGGTTTCAAATTTGTGATCCTTTTGCCTCAGCTTACTGAATTACAGGGATTAAAGGCATGCGCTGCACCTGGCTACTTAGAAGCATTTTAAAATTTATATTAGAACAGTAGTCACATCTTTGATTAATTTTGATCTTTTTTTTTATTTTAAAGATAGAGAGACAGAAAGAATTTTAATATTTATTTTTTAGTTTTCAGCGGACACAACATCTTTTTTTTTTTTTTTTGTATGTGGTGCTGAGGATCGAACCTGGGCTGCACGCATGCCAGGCAAGCTTGCTACCGCTAGAGCCACATCCCCAGCCCCTAATTTTGTTCTCATTACAATCTTTTTCTTGGTTCTCAAATCATCTGATTTCGTCCTTAGTTCTGTGAACAAGGAGGGATTCAAGAACTCTCCGTACAGCTATTGCTTAGCAAACATTGTAATTGAAAAGATATCCATAAACAGTAGTAGACAGGTCTTAAACCTTCACAGTGAGTTATTTAGAACAATACATGCCTATCTTAGAGATTAGTTTTCTTTTTGATAGCAGTTGAAATTACAGGTCTCATTTTTTGGATGATATTTTTCTGTGAAAGAATCAGAAATAACAATGTTCTTGTTGGGTTTCCAGATTAATTTCTTATTTGATATCTTTTTTTCTAACTCTAAATATTTGTTTTTACTTTATTTAATAAAATTATATATAATTGTTGTGCATGTTTTGAAATTGTATGCATTGTGGGATGGCTAAATTGAGCTAATTAAAATATGCATTGCTTCATATACTTATTTTTTTGTTGAGAACACTTAACCTTTTTAGTTTTCAAGACTATAATATGTTTGTTGTAATCATCATGTTTTGTTTTTTTTTGCTACTGGGAATTGAACCTGGGGTGCTTTACCACTGAACCAGTCCTTTTTTTTTTTAAGTTGTAGATGGACACAATATCTTTATTTATTTTATGTGGTGCTGAGGGAGGGAATCAAACCCAGTGCCTCACATGTGCTAGGTGAGTGCTCTACCACTTGGCTACAGCCCTAGCCCTTTATTTTTTATTTTGAGACAGTCTTGCTAAGTTGCTGAGGCCTGCAGCCCTTGAGCTTCTAATCCTTTTGCCTCGGCCTCCCTGGTTGCTGGGATTACAGGCCTGGGTCACTGTGCTCGTCCTACAGTTGTTTTATGTTTTATAAAATTTGGACTGGGATTGTAGTTCATGTTAGAACGTTTGCCTAGCATGTGCAAGGTACTGGGTTCAATCCTCAGTACCACACACACAAAAATTATTATTTGACTTCTGTGTTGTTACTTCTTAAATGTAATATTGATGTCATGTTTTTTTTTTTTTTAAATCTTGGGAGTCATTGGTACCATTTCATTCTTTTTTGAAATTTTTTTAAATTTTTTAGTTGTTATTAGACACAATTCCTTTATTTCACTTATTTATTTTTATGTGGTGCTGCGGATCGAACTCAGGGTCTTGCACGTGTGAGGTGAGTGCTGTACTGCTGAGCCACAACCCTAGCCCCCAAAGGTACCATTTCTATTCCAATTGAAAAGAGTTTTAAAAATCAGAGTCTTAAATCTATAAAAACATAGTTTTGTCTTACTGTGTCCATCAGATCAGGCTCCTGATACACCCTGAAAGGTTGTTAATTTAAACACATGGTCTTTTCTTTAGTTTTGTGAATTAATATAGGTTTTTAATTATTTTTTTAAGATGGGCAGAATACCTTTATTTTATTGTTTATTTTTATGTGGTGCTGGCGATGGAACCCAGTGCTCATGCATGCTAGGCAAGTGTTCTACCACTGAGCTACAACCTAGACCCCTTTATATAGTTTTCATATATCATTGGTACCATTGTTCACCCATAATTATGAATCTGTTTGTTGAGGCTGTTTTGAGGACCACTGAAATAGATTAAAACAAAGTGATAATTGTCCAGAATTTTATATTCCTTAAAAGCAAAAGAGGACTAGGTTTGATCTTCAGTGGTAGAGCACTTACCTAGCACATGTGAGGCACTGGGTTCTATCCTCAGCACCACATTAAAATAAATAAATAAATAAAAAAAAATAAAGTTATTTAAAAAAACGAAATGGGGTAGCCATTTTGATTTCAGGATAGTTTTTTTTTTGTTGATTCTTATAGTACTAGGAATTGAACCTTCCAGGGGTGATTTGTACTATGCTATATGCCAAGTTCCCCCACCTTTTTTTTTTTTTCTTTTTGTACCAGGGTTTAACTCAGGGTGCCTAACCACTAAGCCACTTTCCTGTCCCTTTTTATATTTTATCTTAAGACAGTAAGTTGCTGAAGCTGTCCTGAAACTTGTGATTTGTCCTGCCTCAGCCTCCTGAGTAGCTGGGAATATAGGCTTGTACTACTGTGCCCATTTCAAATAGTTTATTGTTATAAGTTCATACAGACCAATCTGATACCACATTACTTATGAAAATAAGACATTATTCATTAATGTTTTATTTTCCTTTATCTTGTGTTTATATTACCTGTGAATTAGGATAATTACTTGTATGGCATGTAGTTGATATAGAACATAGTCGTATTTGAATACTCTTTATTTTTTGGTACTGGGGATAGAACTCGAGGCATTGGACCACTGAGCCACATCCCCAGCCCTATTTTGTATTTTATTTAGAGGCAGGGTCTCACTGAGCTGCTGCTGAAACTGTCTTTGAACTCATGATCCTCCTGTCTGAGACTCCTGAGCCACTGTAATTACAGGCATATGCTGTTGCGCCTGGCTAATAGTATTCTTGAGTCACATTGTGCTTTTTTCCTTTTTTTAGGGACCCCAATGATTCCTGTACCAATGAGCATTATGGCTCCTGCTCCAACTGTAAGTATAATTTAAAGAAGGAAAGTTGTTGTGATAGTCCTAAAAGGTGCTTTTAAAGCTAAAAATCTTGATATAGTTAGAATTAGTAAACAAATGATGGGATTTCCTATGAATTTTCTACCACTAATTTGAATAAGTATCATTTTCACTTAGCTATGCATGTGAGAGAGAATGTGTGTGTGTATGTAGAGAAGAGAGACAGACTGTGTGTTCTAAAACATCCCCTAAATTAATTAATTTTATGATCTATCTTTGTTTCTTTTCAGACTTTTCACATACTGTCTTTTAGATATTTAGTACAGTGGCTTTTTGATCATTCCCTCATCTTATCTTGGTCCTGGGTGATGGGAGATGATCTGACCTTAAAAGAAATGTAGGAATGAATGGGCCCCAAAAATTTAAATGTTGAAAAGTAATTTGTGTAAAGTATCTTTTTACTCTTTCCTCCCTCCTCTGGTGTTTGGCCCTTTTTACTCTTATCTATTTTCTCTTTCTTTAATATATTTTTAAGTTTTATAAGCCTTTCTTCTGCTGAAGTGTTCATTCTTGTGTCTTAAACCCTAATTCTCCATAATAATCAAACCTTCAAAGTGTATTAAAGAATGATGCTGTACTGTAGCACATAATGAGAATCCTCTTTTATTTAGCTAGAATTTTTCTTTGAATTAATTGGTATAACAGACTTCATTTGGAATTCTGTGAGAGAGACTAGATCTCATTACTTTCAACTGTGTATGTTTTATTGTTTTTTTATCTTTGGGTTTTGAAAAGGGAGGGGAATATTACTCATGTCAAAGGGAGAGGAAGGAAATACATCAGAGAAATTGGAAATCTGCTCTGAGGTAGACCACTAAGACTATTTGGTTCTCAGCCCATGGGAAGTCCAGCTTTTCTTGCATTGGACACCCATAGTTAAACTATTTTAGAAAGTCTCCAAGTGATGTTTACTCTTCCCACTTGTATTTCAGGATAGGAAAAGATGGGATTGGGGTTTGGAGGAGCTCCCTCAGCTTGCCAATGTTTGTCAAGTTCTTACTGAGGGTCTGTGGCTGATTTAAGTACAAAGAATAGTTCCTTCCTCTGGAAAGTTGAAAGTTGGGAAAGCAAACTTGGAACTTAAACTTTTAACAAAGGGTAAAGTGTTAGTATGGAAGAGTGCTATGGAATATTTGAATATTCTGTTACAGGATTAGCAGGGATAAATGGAATTTGCTTTTATATGGATACTAAGAATATTAGATGTGAAAAAGTTTCTGGATTTTATTTAATTTTAAATGATTTATGATGTCTTCAACATTTAAAAAATGTGTCTTAATGACTTTTTATTTGCTTTTTCAAGTATTTGAAAACAATCTAATGGCAAAAGCTGGTTATGAATAAATTTGGATTAATGGAGTATGCCATATGCTTTGGCAGCTTCAATATAAAGCTTTAATATATGCTATACTCTTACCAGTTTTTAGCATAATGTTACACTAAATGTAATAGGAAATCTAATTATTTTCCAGATCAAATTTATGGCCCTTCTTTATCATAGGTCTTAGTACCCACTGTGTCCATGGTCGGAAAGCATTTGGGAGCAAGGAAGGATCATCCAGGTTTAAAGGCAAAAGAAAATGATGAAAATTGTGGTCCCACTACTACGGTTTTTGTTGGCAACATATCCGAGAAAGCCTCAGACATGCTTATACGACAGCTCCTAGCTGTAAGTTAAACTGTTTACTTTTCATTAAATTTTTATAAATTTTAAAAACCAGGATTTTGAATGATTATTTTTCCCTATTTTTATTTTGAAGAAATTTAAAACTACAGAAAAGGTGAAAGAATGGTTCAGTAAACCCAAACACATTTTGATAGATTTATTTTATCTCTACCGTGTATGTTCCCCATCCCAAATAATTTGAAGGTGAGTGTCATGTGGCATTTCACCTGAGTCTGAAGTGTATCTCCTAAGAGTAAGGACAATCTCCTGCATAATGACAGTGCTATTGTTATTACACTTAAGAAGTGTAATTTGGGTGCAATGTCATTCTTCTCTAGTCCGAGTTACTTGGGAGGCGGAGGCGGGAGGATCACTTGAACACAGGAGTTTGAGAATAGCTTGAGCAACATTATGAAACTATATAAACTATATAAAAATTTAAAGTTGATAAGGTATTGTTAACTAAAATATATCTAATTCATATTTAATCTTTCAGTCATGGCCACAGTAAGTTTTTGGTTTACAATCTGTGATCTATAATTTCTTTAATTGTCATGCCTCTTTAGACAACTTTTTGCTTTTTATTTTCTTCTTGTACTACTGAGGATCAAACCAGGTTCTGGTGCTTGCTAGGCAAGCTCTCTGTTACTTACTAGATCTCCACACCCCCCTCCCTTTTTTTTTTCATTTTTATTTTGAGATAGGTCTTGTTGTATTGTCCTAGGCTGACCTGGAACTTTTTATCTTTCCTTAGCCTTCCAGTTTCCTAGGATTATAGGCATGTGCCACCAGACATGGATATACAGCTTTTAAAATTTTTTTTAGTTATACATGGACACAATATCTGTTTTTATTCATTTTTAGTTGGTGCTAAGGATTGAACCTAGTGCCTCATGTGTGTGAGGCAAGCACTCTATCATTGAGCCACGACCCCAGCCCTGTATAGCTTTTTAATATGGAATAAATCCCCTGCTTTTTTTACTTGCTTTTTGTTTTTTCCTCCCTGACATCGATATTTTTGAGTCCAGTTCTTTGCCGAATATTTCTCCCAATTTGGATGTCAGCTTGTTTGCTCTAGATTCAAAGTAAGGATTTTTGATAACTGATACATTCTTCCTAGGATAGAATAGCAAGAGATAAGACATGATGCCCCATTGATCCTGTCTTTGGAGGTGTTGAGTTACTTGGTTAAGGTCTTCAGACCTTTTCCCTGTTAAGGGTACCTTTTCCTCTGGTATCCTAAATAAGTAGTCTCTGAGTTTACATTTTGAAAATGAGACCTTTACCCTACCAGCTATTAAAACAGTGATTGATGATTGAGTTCCTTTGAAGTTTTTATTCCAAATAATTGTAAGTTCTTTAGGTTTTGTGAAGTCATTTATTTTCTTTCTCTTTTTTTTGTTTAAGATAATTCAGTTTGGTGATACATGCAGATTGTTATGAATTATATTGCATGATTTTATAATATATATTTTATAAATATATTTTATATTTATATATTTTATAAAGAAAGTATTTATAAAGAATTTATAAATTTATAATTTTATAAATTTAATTTATAAATTTATAAGGAATTTATAAATTTATAAAGAATTTATATATTTTATAAAGAAAGTATTTATAAAGAAAGTATTTACATTCCCTCTTTACCATTTCTTGGGGAAGGTATTTTTAAATCTTTTTTTGTTTTATAAATAATGTACAGTATAGCCATTTCCATTTTATAAATTGTTTTCTTTCATTGGATATTTAGATGACAATCATTCATAAAACCCAGCTTTGTTTAACTTAATGATTCTAGCTTCAGATTTTTCCCAGAGAAATGTAACATTACAGTGAAAACCCTAATTCCCAGATTACCAATTATCCTAAACTTTAGGGATTTAGCATTTGTGTGCATATTTTCTACTTCATTGCATATTACAGATTCATAAATACACATTATTTGTAAGGTTTAATTCTGTATTTTAGTTTTTTTTTTTTTTCACCTAACAACTTTGCTTTTCTCTGCTATATATCGTTGTATTGTAGAAATAGTCATAAACTATTGCTTTTCTATTGATAGTAATAAGGATTGTTTTCATATTCTGTTATATTACTGGCAATAGGTCTTTCTAGGTACAAGTGAAAAATCTTCTGTCACATATTCTTTCAGAAGTGAAATTTAAGTATTAGAGCATACTTGAGTTTTCCCCTCATAATTACTCATACCAATTTATACTTAATTGCAGCAGTGTCTAAGTTTCCATTCTTGTATATTGTGTTTAAATATATTATGTTTAAATTTTTAACTTTTTGGAATGTCTAATAGATTTGAAGTTATCTCATTCTTGTTTTGATTTGTATTTTATTACTGTCTTTATTACTTTTGAAATTATCTGTTGACTTATTATTTTGGTAGATAAAGCGTAGCTTGCATATAGGTCTCAAGTCTCATTCCCCAATTTCCTAATATAGTGACATCATTACAGTGTTATGATGGTTGGTAAATAGTTTGGTAGAACTAAACCTTGTACCATGATTACATTTTCATTGTTCTCTTGGAGTTGTTAATTATGTTATTCTTTTGTTAATAGTTTCTATAAATTTATTAGAAATTTAGAATTCCCCATCATTTCTACTTTGCACCTGCCCTTTTTCTTCAATTGTTAAAATATATCAAGTAATTTTAATTTCCCTTCTTTTCTAAAGGCCTTTCTGCCAGACCCCTCTATTTTTGTTTTTGGTTTTTGGGGGGTTTTTTGGTACTGGCTATGGAACCCAGGTGTGCTCTATTACTGAGCTACATCCCCAGCCCTTTTTATTTTTTATTTTGAGATAGGGTCTCGCTACGTTGCCAAGGCTGTCCTCACATTCATGATCCTCCTGCCTCAGCCTTCTGAATAGCTGTGAGTACAGGTGCATGCCACCATGTCTGGGATATCTGTTCATATTTAAAAGTTATGAATTAAAAGAATGTTGTGTGCATAAGATCAGATTAAAAAATGAGGCTTTTCCCAAACATGGGGTAATTTAGGAAGCAGTCAGAGGATTTGAATGTTGCTATGTGGAGGTCTTTTCTTTGGGGCTGTTTGGTTTCTCTAGAAAACTTTCCCATGCCTTCAAATTGACTGCTTATATAGGGTTGGGGGTGAAGTGCTGGGTTCAGCCATCTTTACAAATACATTTACATTCTTCCCTTTAATCCACTCTACCTCATCCAGGTCTTCTGTCTTATCTGGTACTCAATACCCCAAGCCAGTTCTGTTCATTCTTTAGACATTAACACATTAACTGAACTACTTGGCTCTGATTATTTAATTCATATTCATAAAGTCAGGCAAGCCCCCTTTTAAAATTTAGCCTCATTGTTCATTTTTACTCCCATTTAGATTCACTTGTTTTTCTAGAGTGGATTAGTATAATTCTTTGTCCTTAGTATCTTCCTCTGTAGACATGAAGATATAGACTTCATTATTGTGCTAAATGAGTTACCACCCAGCCATTTGCTTTTTTTTTTTTTTAATGAAGTCTGGACAACTGCTCTTTGCCCATCTATTATAACTTGTGGGTTTCTTCTATCTTTTATATTCCTTGACTATCATTTTAATATTTCCTCTGAAGGAAGATGTGAAAAATGTACATATCCTTTCACTTTAACAGGCAGTTAATGTTACAAATAACTTTTTTTTTAAAGCCTTCTGGGTTATGCTTTAATATTTAGAAATAATGTTAGGCATTTTGTTAACTTTCAATATATAATAATGTCCCATCCTTCACTTAACCCCTTAGAATTTTGGATTTTTTTTTTTTAAAATGAGACAATACTGGGAATTGAACCCATATCTTGCCATGTTGTAGATGTTGCATGCATGTCTACCACTGAGCTGTATGTACCTGCAGCCCGTGGGATATCTTCAGTCATTTTACAGAAAAAAAAAATTTTTTTTTACTCAGTTAAAATATCACTGTATTTAGTAATTTATGTCCAAGTTACTTTGTAAATCATATTAAGGTTTTTCCTATATCATTATATATAAAATACAGGGGGTTTTGTTTGTTTTTGTGGTGCTGGTGTTCAGACCCAGTGCCTCCCAAGTGGTATACAAATGCTGTACCATTGAGCTAAATGCTCAGCCCTGTAATACATAGTTTAATTTATAATTTATTTGAAGTACACGTAACCATATTAGGTTCTTGAATTTATATATATATATATATATTTGTAAGATAATTTATGGTATAAGTCTCTAATATATTAAAAGATAGTGAAGGGAATTTTGTTAAGAAGTATCAATGAAGAATTTATATTTGTCTTAAAATGATCTGATTTGCATTTTATACAAATTTGTGAAGATTGAGAGAATTTCAACAGACTTATTTGCTGGTATGATCTTATTTATGTTTTTGCTTTTTCTTCCCCTAGAGAGAATATAATTGTTCTCTTGCATTAAACTTAAGTTTTCTTTTTCTTTTAAAGAAATGTGGTTTGGTTTTGAGCTGGAAGAGAGTACAAGGTGCTTCTGGAAAACTTCAAGGTAAGTCATGTTTTCCTTATTTGTTGATTGTTTTTACCTGTTTAAATAAATCACTTTACATGTTTTATTTTCATTGTCTTTTTCATACTAGAATAGTTTCAAATGCAGTTGAAGATAATTACTGAGAGTTGAGATTAATGGGTGGAAAAGTGGAGGACAGCAAGGAGTTAAGAGGAAATAATTAAAATTACTCTGGCTTGTTTCTATATTTTATCACTTTTTTGGAAACATTACTCAAACATATTATTTTTTATACATAAGAGGAATATTTCTGTAGCCAGGCCTGTTTGTGCACACCTGTAATCCCAGTGGCATGGGAGGCTGAAAGGGATGGGAGGATCAGGAGTTCAAAGTCAGCCTCAACAGTGGTGATGGCAAGGCACTAAGCAACTCAGTGAAACCCTGTGTCTAAATAAAACAGGTGGTATATATTTTGTATAGGACTGGGGATGTGGCTCAGGGGTTGAATTCTCCAGAGTTCAGTTCCTGGTATCCTCATTTAAAAAAAAAAAAAAAGTTTTTTCTGTGAAAGCAGCATGGTATAATTAAGATGGAAAAATTGCAACTTAGGAAGAGAGTAGAAAAGATGTGACCTGTTATTTTTGAAAACAAAATGTGCTTTTTATATTTGTCTGTGGAAATAGCTAGTGGATAATTTTCTTCTTCTTTTTTTTTTTTATAATTATTTTATTTTTATGTGGTGCTGAGGTTCGAGCCCAGTGCCTCACATGTGCTAGGCGAGCATGCTACTGCTTGAGCCACAACCCCAGCCCTAATTATTATTCTGATGCTGCAGATGCAACCTAGGGCCCTCACCACTGCTAGGCAAGCATTCTACCACTGTGCCACACATTCAACTCTGAAAATATATCTTCTAAACACTTTGATATGGAAAAATTCATATGTACATAACATTAGAATAGTGGGTTAAATTCCCATTTACTCATCATCCATTGTTAATGTATTGTATTTTGTCAGTACCCTGCACAATTGATTTTCTTTGTATTATTTATTTTATTACTTTTGGTACCAGGAATTGAACACAGGAGTGTTCAGCAACTGAGCCATTCTCCTCTGTTTTATCTGTTTTTTTTTTTTTTGGAGACTAGATCTCATTAAATTCCTGAGGATGACCTTGAACTTGTAATCCTTTTGCCTCAACCTTCCTAATCACAGGAATTATAGGCATGAACTATTGTACCCAGCAGATTCTCTCTCTCTTTAATTTTTTAGTTTTCGGTGGACAGAACATCTTTATTTTATTTTTATGTGGTGCTGAGGATCGAACCCAGCACCCCGCGCATGCCAAGTGAGCACACCATTGGTTGAGCTACATCCCCAGCCCTCTCTCTCTCTTTTTTAATACTTTTATTTTATTTTATTGTTTTTTTTTTTTGTACTGGGGATTCAACTCAGGAGCACTTAACTACTGAGCCACATTCCCAGCCCTATTTTATATTTTATTTAGAGATAGGTCTCACTGAATTGTTAAGTGCCTCACCAATGCTGAGGCTGACTTTGAATTAGAGATCCTCCTGTCTCAGGTTTCCAAGCCTCTGGGATTATAGGCGTGTGCCATTGTGCATAACCAATATCTTTATTTATTTATTTTTATCTGGTTCTGAGGATAAAGATAATATTTGAACATAAGGATGGAAGAATATTTAATGTTACTATGTTTAGTATGGATTCATTGTAGTTATTATTAAGTTAAAGTTTAAGTTGGCTTAAGTTATCTCTGCACATTGGATCTCCAGTGATTTTGTTTTGACTCTCATTGTCTTTGTGGCTTCCTTATTATCTGATGTGACCTGATATTCACAGCAGATTATTCTGATAGATTTTCTGGTCCAGGCTTGGAATCATATATTTCTTTTCATATATTTTTAGTTTTTATGGTTATAGATGGACACAATATCTTTATTTACTTTTGTGTGGTGCTGAGGATCAAACTCAGGAACTCACACCTTCAAGGCAAGCACTCTACGAATCAGCCCCAGCCTCAGCCCTGGAATTGCAATTTCTTTAAGGTGCTTTTAATGAAAAATTATTTTGAAAATCACAATGTTGAGTAACTCATTATACCTGGTTTGGTTTTTGCTTTTAGGTTTTTTTCGGTATATATTCATTTAAATTCTGGAATGAAAAATTTTTATTTTCTGTCTTCTGATGTTTGTCACACGTTGAGAATCTGGAGTTTCAAGAACAGTGGAGGCAATATTTATCACTAACTTGTTTTTGTCTTACCTCACATTGTATATATAACAGTTCAGACTAAAATAATACCAGTATTGTCATCAACAGTGTGAATTTTGAAAGTTACTCTTTTTTTTGCCAGGCTTTTTGTCCTTAGGTTATATCACACCAAAAATGTATGGTTAAATCTGCTGGTTTAATATCGTTAAGAATAGGGCTGGGGATGTGGCTCAAGCGGTAGCATGCTTGCCTGGCATGCGTGCGGCCCAGGTTCGATCCTCAGCACCACATACCAACAAAGATGTTGTGTCCGCCGAGAACTAAAAAATAAATATTAAAAATTCTCTCTCTCCCTCCTCTCTCACTCTCTCTCTCTTAAAAAAAAAAAATCGTTAAGAATAGTTCCTCCTTGTGCCATTATGGCGTTATTTGTATACATATTTAGAATAATTTATTTTTAACTTTGGGTTCCCTGGGTTGTTTTAACATCTTTATTTTATTTAAAGACATTATTAGTGCTATTCCCTAGTTATAGAAGGAAATAGATAAATTAAAACATAACTTACATAGAAGGTCAATACTTTTTATAATTTTATCCTCTCGGAATTGAAAAGTGCTTTGCTTAGGTTCAACCAGTTTGTTATTGCTTATTTGTTGCTCTTAGGATGTCTGGATAGAATGATTAGTGAAGTAATCAATAATCAGTTTAATCATTAAATTCACTGACATTGCTAATTTTTTTTTAAGAGAGAATTTTTTTAATATTTATTTTTTTAGTTTTTGGTGGACACATCTTTATTTTTTTATTTTTATGTGGTGCTAAGAATCGAACTCAGCGCCTTATGCATGCTAGGAGAGTGCACTACCGCTTGAGCCACATCCCCAGCCCAGACATTGCTAAATTTTTTTATCAGAGTGTCCAATAAGTACCAGTTTGCTTAATTTGAGTTTTTCTTTTCTCCTGTTTTTTCCCTCCTCTTCTTTTTTCTGTTGGTTTTTGATGTTGCTAAAACCAAAATGATCATGAAAGGGCAATGATGGACAGAGTATTCATCCTTATATTGGTACATTTGCCTAATCATTTTGATTCTTCATCAATTTTTGTCTTTTATTGATGTATCATTTACTCTTTATACCTAGCTTTTGGATTCTGTGAGTATAAGGAGCCAGAATCTACTCTCCGTGCACTCAGATTATTACATGATCTGCAGATTGGAGAGAAGAAGTTACTTGTTAAAGTTGATGCAAAGACAAAAGCACAACTGGACGAATGGAAAGCAAAGAAGAAAGCTTCTAATGGGGTATGTTTTCTATAGTGTAAACATTTGTATGTCAGATGCTCTTTCACTGTGAATACTCCCTATTATAGATGAATCTAAAATGGGGATTCACAAGATTGTTGTTATTGTGTGTGTATTAGGGCTTAAATGCAAGAAGATATTTTATAGTTTGTAGTTATTATATGTCTTTTATCTACCCACAGTGGGTGCATGACTGTTGGTTTGCTTATTCCAGGTTGGGATGAAGGTAGTAAGGGAGGCTGGACAAGTTTAACTTGTCAGAGAAAACACTGGTACAGACTATTCCTAACAGAGATAATTCATTAAGGCAGCTTTGTAAGTAAGTACAAAATATATTTCCGCCTACACAATTATTATTAGTTGCCCTCTACTTTAGAAGTACACAGATTCTAAAATGAATGAAAATAAGTCACTACTTAGTTGGGTTTCTTTATTCAGGTAATCATAAATAAAAGAGATTTTTGGATGATGTTGTATGTATTATTACCTCCCCTTCTAAAGCAAAGCATATCTTAAACCTGAATATATTACGTGTTTATTCCTCCCTAGTTCCTTTTTGAAATATTAGGTTGAACAGATCTTTAAGTAGATCTTTTATTTATTTTTTTAAATATTTTTTTTTGTTGTAATTGGACAAAATACCTTTATTTTATTTATTTTTATGTGGTGCTAAGGATCAAATGAAGGGCCTTGCGTGTGCTAGGCGAACGCTCTAATGCTAAGCCTCGACCCCAGCAGAAGATCTATTACTATCTTCCTCTCAACAAATGAAATGAAATAGGGGCTGGGCATGGTGGTACACAACTTTAATTCCAGCAACTTGGGAAGCTGAGAGGAGGATCGAGTGTTCAAAGCCAGCCTCAACAAAAATAAGATGCTAAGCTATTCAGTGAAATCCTTTCTCTTTCATTTTGTATTTACAAAATAGGGGTGGAGACGGACGGTTGTGGTTATGGCTCAGAGGTAGTGTGCTTGCCTAGCATGTGTGAGGCACTGGGTTCTATCCTCAACACCACATTAAGTAAAATAAATACATTGTGTCCACCTATGATTAAAAAATGAATATTTAGAAAAAAATAGTTTTTGGGATGTGGCTCAGCTTCAAGTGCCCCTAGGCTTAATTCTCGTTTCACTGCCGCCCCCCAAAATAAAACCTTAAGTAGCCCTTTGATTTCACTTTCTCATTACATTTCAAGATAGAAATTTCTTTCTTGTTTTCTCTCCATTTTTTTTTAGTTGTTAATGGACCTTTCCATTTTAAAAACATTTTACCTTTTTTTTTTTAAGTTGCCGATGGGCCTTCATTCATTCATTCATTCATTTATTTATATATGGTGCTGAGAATTGAATCTAATGCGTAACACTCACACATACCAGGCAAGTACTCTCCCATTGAGCTACTATCTTATATGTTCTTTCCTCTGAGCTACTACCTTATATATTCTTTTACTTAAAAAAAAAAAGAAATTGAAGCAAATTATAAAACATAAATTAAAAATCAACCATTTCCTTCAGTGTAAGTAATTGTTGAAACATGCAAGAGAAAAGTATCAGATTACATGTAGAAGGAAACCAGTTCACACCTTAGCAGATTTGTCAACCCATGACTGTCAAAGCTAGGAGGTCCTGGAACAGTATATACCAAGCTCTGAAAGAAAATGGGTGTCAACCAAGAATCTTAAAAAAACCTTCCATGATCAACACAAGTTAAAAGAATTTACAGCTAGGAAGCCTACACTACAGAACATTCTCAGCAAAATATTTCATGAGGAGTAAATGGAAATAAAAAATGATGAAAATCAGCAAAAGGAGGAAAAGCCAATCAAAGGAGACAACAAAATCAAATTTAAAACCAAAAACCAAAACGACAGGAATACAAATCATATCAATAATAACCCTGAATATTAATGGCATACACCTATCAATTGAAAGATAGACTGGTAGATGGGACATAAAAAAAATAGACCCAGCAATATGCTATCTTCAAGAAACTCCTAGGCAAAAAGATCCAGACTGAAGGTGAAAGGATGAAAAGAACATATCACATGTGTGGACTACACAAATAATCATACAAAGTGGACTTCAAAGTTAGAAGATATAAAAAAGGGGCCTTTCGTACTGCTTAAGGGAATCATACATCAAGAAGACATACCAATCGTAAATATTTATGCCCCAAACAGTGGAGCATCTATGTACATCAAACAAAGCCTTCTCAATTTCAAGAATCAAATAGACAACAACATACTAATAGTAGGTGACTTTTAACACACTTCTCACCACTGGATAGATCTTCCAAAGAAAAACTAAACAAAGAGTCATCACAATACCAGACCTTGAAGTATACTACCGAATTACAGTCACAAAACCATCATGATATTGACCTCAAAATAGACATGTAGACGAATGGTACAAAATAGAAGATACAGAGACAGTTTCTTCATGCTAGACAAAGGCGCCAAAAACATACATTGGGGGGAAAAAAACGCCTCTTTAACAAATGGTGCTGGGAAAACTGGAAATCCACATGTACCAAAATGAAAATAAACCCCTATGTCTCACCCTGCTGAAAACTCAAAAGTCAAGGCAGTAGATCACACATCTTGTGCCTAATAGAAGAAAAGGTAGACCCAAGTTTTCATCATGTTGGCTTAGGAACTAATTTCCCTTAACACAACCCTTAAAGCACAAGAAATAAAATAAAAAGTCAATAAATGGGATGGATTCAAAGTAAAAAGCTGCTTCTCTGAAAAGGAAACAGTCAATAACATGAAGAGAGAGCCTGCAGAATGGGAAGAAAATCTACCATACGCACACTAAAGAACTCAGAAAATTAACACCAAAAAACAAATAACCCAATCAATTATTGGGCTAAGGAACTAAAGATATCATTCACAGAGAATGTATACATTGGTCAACGAAAAAATGTTAAGCATCTTTAGCAATTAGAGAAATGTAAGTCAAAACTCAGAATTTATCTCACTCCCGTCAGAATGGTAAAAACGATAGGTGATACAGTTCAGTGGTATTTACCATGTTTAGTATTCTGTACCCCTCCAAAATAAAAAAACCTGCAAAAGAACGTTTTTCTTACATAACATTGAATTAAAACAGATGTTTATGGATTTTATTTTTCCAAACATTAATTGTATACTTTTGAATGTAGATTGCATATTGACCCATTATTTTTTGCTCATAGTTTATTCAGTAACTTCGCATGTAAGAAAAAAGTTGAACAATCTTACGTAATATAAATTTTTTTTCCAATAACCTTAGCAAATATAACTGTATAGTGGAGTACTTACTATATATTTGCCACAAGTTTAAAGAGAAAATATGAGTGGAGGCTTATTCTTTGTCCTTTTTTTTTTTTTTTAAAGAGAAAGTGAGAGAGGAGAGAGAGAGAGAGAGAGAATTTTTAATATTTATTTTATTTAGTTCTCGGGGGACACAACATCTTTGTTGGTATGTGGTGCTGAGGCTCGAACCCGGGCCGCACCCATGCCAGGCGAGCGGGCTACCGCTTGAGCCACATCCCCAGCCCCTATTCTTTGTCCTTAATTATTGATTATTTGAAGGGATTTAGATAGCAGTCACTTACATAATGATAGGGAACCTTGTGTTACTGCATTCAGGCTGTTTAGTCAGACTTTGGGGCATAAGAGAGAAAACCACTAGTAGTTCTCACTGTATATATTTAACCCAGGCCCCTGCACATGTTAGTCATATACCATTCCATTGAGTTGCATCTGCAGCCTCATTCTATAGTTTCCATTTTTTTTTTGGTGCTAGGGATTGAGCCCAGGGCCTTGTGCGTGTGAGGCATGCACTCTACCAACTGAACTGTATCCCCAGCCCCCAGCCTAGTTCTGTAGTTCTCATTGACTGAAAATAAATATGAGTTTGGAAGAGCAAGATATTTTTTCTGACCTGGAATTTTAAGGGGATTTATGTACTTATGTAAGATGTCTTGTCATTACAGTTTGAAAACTTGTTTAGATTTGTTGTAGGTGCAATGTCTTCCTCCATTCCATGTTATTTATTTATGAATGTGTATGTTAGACTGAGGTTCAGAGGCACTTTATCACTGAACTACTTCCCCATCTCCTATTAACGCAGGATCTTACTGCATTACCCAGACTGTTACCATCCTTGGCATCCTTCTGCTTCAGCCTCCCAAGTTGTCGGGATTACAGTTACATGCCCCTATGACTCACTTTTCTTTCAATTTCTTATTGACATTTACTAAAGGTAATTTAAGCTACCCATGCTTTTCCGTTTAGTCCATGTCCTGGTGCTTGCTGGATATCCAATAATAAAAGCATAGGAGTAGGTATATCTACTTGACATTCAGAATTTGTGGTTGTTAACTACACAGTCAAGAATGAGTTCTGGCAATATTTTGAGAGAGCCAAGTGTATTACCTTCTAGTAGAGGAGAGATGCTCTAGAATATCTTCACATCTTTGTCTAGAAATTAGTTGGGTTGAGTTAACATTTTTCAGTTCTGTGCATTTCCCTAAGTTTGCAAAGATGGTCTTACTTCAGGCAATAAAAGTCAGTGTCAAAAGAGTTAGACTTGGTCAAGGGTGGTGGTGAACGCCTGTAATCCCAGCTACTTAGGTGGCTGAGACAGGAGGATCACGAGTTCAAAGCCTGTCTCGGCAAAAGCGAGGTGCTAAGCAACTCATTAAGACCTTGCCTTTAAATAAAATATAAAATAAGGCTGGGGATGTGGCTCAGTGGCTGAGTGCCTCTGAGTTCATTCCCCAGTACCCTGCTCCCATGCTGGAAAAAAAATAAGACTTGAAGAGCTATTTGATACTTCCCATTCCTTTTAAAAATGTCGAAAAGGTGGTTCATGTAAACATTTTAGATAATCAGTTACTCTGTATCTACTGTTAAGCTATTCACTTGTTTGCACTCCAGTCTTTTATTAAAAAAAATTTTTTTAAGTTGTGGTTGACACAATATCTTCCTTCCTTCTTTCCTTCCTCCCTCCCTCCCTCCCTCCCTCCCTCCCTCCTTCCTTCCTTCCTTCCTTCCATCCATCCAACAAAGGGTCTTGCACGTGCTAGGCAAGCACTCTACCGCTGATTCACAATCCCAGCCCCATTTATTTTATTTTTTGGTTCTGGAGATTGAACTCTGGGACACTTTAGTATTGAGCTACATCCTCAACACCCCTGGTCTTTTATTTTTCTTCAGTCATTTGTTTGTTTTTTTATTTGTTTATTTTGGTACTTAGGATTGAACCCAAAGACATTTCATGTATCTCCATGTTTTTTAAAATTTTGAGATGGGATCTGGGTCTTGATTAATTGCTGAGGTTGCCCTTGCATTTGGCGATCCTTCTGCCTCAGTGTCCTGAGTGCCTTGGATTATGAAGTCTTACTTTTTTACTTTGAGACATTGTCTAAGTTGCTGAGCTTGGCCACAGATTTATAATCCTTCAGTCTCTATCTCCAGAGTCTCCTCAATTACAGGCATGTGTCACATTCCCTATTTATTTTTACTCAGTATGCTTTTCTAATTGGTGGAATAGAAGACGGAAGTGGAAGTCAGGAAATCATTTATGATTTAGATTGTACATTTAGAGCTGTAGGTTAAACTTGCCAGTCTCTGTAACCAAAAATAGCTTCACCTTTTTATAATAGTGTTAATTTATTTTTGTTTTTTTCACATATCAGTTTAGACATTAGGCTAATAATCTGCCCTACATGTGTTGATTGAGGGATGATTAGCCATTTTAGTGTTGAATAATTTAGTGTATTCGAAATGGCTGTTTTGTAATTTGGGTGAAATAGCCAAATATTTGAATTTTGTTTTTTAACATTGGGGTAATACTCAATGTAGGGACTAAATATTTTTGTATGAACAGGCCTTTTGATTTATAATGGCACTTTTATTCCTGTATTTAGAAAGGTGTGGAGACTACTCAAACCAGAATGTAGAGAATATGCCAACAATATGTGTTGCTTTCCTTTTTTTGTTGTTAAATACAATTGTGTTTTTTTATTTTATTTTTTTTAGTTGTAGTTGGACCCAATATTTTTATGTGGTTCTGAGAATCTAATCCATTGCCTCACAGGTGTGAGGCGGGCTCAGAACCACTGATGTACAGACTCAGCCCTGGATTATTTTCTAATTTATTGTATTTTGAGAATTTAGGTCTGAAAAGATAACAAGCTTTTATTAGAAATGGCCATGTGTGTCTCAGAACAGAAGGTTTTAGTTCCAGTTCATTAGAGGATTTACTTTCACATAAAACCACTGGAGAAACAGGGCAAGATGTGTTTTTCGTGATAGGTATGTAAGTTGAAGACCTTATTTAAAATAAACACATTACCACTATTTCAGTTTACTTAATTGTTGGTAAATTATAATCGTTTTATTTGTAGTCATATGTAAAGCATCTTCATCAAAGATGCCAAGTTGAAAGTGGGCTATAAGAAGATTGGATGTAGGAGCTGGGCATATAGCTCAGTTGGTTTGAATGCTTGCCTTGCACGCATACGGCCCCTGCAGCGCGCGCGTGCGCACACACACACACACACGCACACACAAAAAGATTGGATGTAGAGGCAGGTTTGAGAAAGGAAGAAACTTACTGAGGGTGTGCACTTTTATTAAACCACATGATACGTTATATTGAACTTGTCTGTGTCATAACTCAATTCTTACCTATGATGGTAGATATGTAAGGGTAAAATTATCTTTATTCAGGCTTACTATATTTTTCACATAATATGATCTGAATGATAATTTGTTTGACAAATTGATAAATAAATGCTTACTGAATATCTATTTGCAACAGCTATAAGAATACTGGCAATGGAGTGATTTGTTGGTAGGTTATATTGTTAAATAATTACAAGATGGGAAACTGGCCTTCAGTAGAGTTGCAAGTATTGTGATGAAGAGCCAGGTATGCGTGCAAAAGAGAATGGTTCTGTTATGTATGTGAAAGATTGTATGGTATATGGTAACCAAGTAAATTGATAAATCATAAGGATATGTTTTGATTATGAGAATTTGTTTACATATGTTCTTTTATGTTTGCCTTTGCCGATTTTTAAATATTTTATCCTTTCACATGTTTTGAGTAGAGAAAGGAGTAATTGGAAATTATCGAAAGTTTTAAGGTCACCCTGTATATTGAAGTTTTAGTGGATTAGGTCCTTAACCAGAGAACTTAAGATATACCAAGAATAGTAGTATACTAGAACACTAATTTTTCCCCCACAGAAACAGAGTTAACAATCAGACTTTTTGTTTTAATAGCTATGAATAGAATCTAACAAATAATCAGTTTATTACTTATGAGAAACATTACATGAATTGTTAATTTTTAGATGCACCTGAAAGTCATGTGGAAGACTTTAGTTTTTAAACTTGATTCTTTAGTGTATATAGTTACTATAGGTGGCATTTTCTGCTTTACAAAAATTATAGTGGAACACGAGGAAGAAGCCATCATTTTAATTTATAGTTTCATGTGTGCATTTTCGTATATATTGTTATTCATTGTTTTTGTTTAACTTTTCTTGTTTTGTCTTATTTGACATTGTAGCTATTAGTAAAACCAACTTTGTTTAATAGAACTGTGGAGATGTTTTGAAGAAATCATATTTGTTAATCCTTAGGATGATTATCATTTTTTGTTTCATGTGAATTTTTTTGTTTCTCAAGAACGCCAGGCCTGAAACTGTCACTAATGATGATGAAGAAGCCTTAGATGAAGAAACCAAGAGAAGAGATCAGATGATTAAAGGGGCCATTGAAGTTTTAATACGTGAATATTCCAGTGAGCTAAATGCCCCATCACAGGAGTCTGATTCTCACCCAAGGAAGAAGAAGAAGGAAAAGAAGGAGGACGTATGTGTCCAGACAGCTTGTAGTCATTTCTACAATTTATTTTTTTATAATATCACTTGTTATACTTTGTGTTTTTTTAAAATATTTTTTAGTTGTAGATGGATACAACATCTTTATTATTTTTATGTGGATGATGAGGATGTGAGGCAAGCGCTCTACCACTGAGCTACAACCCTCGCCCCTTATACTTTGTATTTTAACTTGTGAGAGCAAATGAAATAACAATTTCCAAGGTAAAAGAGAATATGAGGCTTGCTCATACTAATTTATTTTGAGTAAACTTGGAGAAATTATGGACAGTGTTCTTTAAAAATACTGGAAGTATTTTATATGTGTTTGTATATACCACGAAAAGTAACATAAAAGGTATGTACTATGATCAGTTGTCAAGGGATGTTGACAGTTCACATCATCATTGGATTTCAATGCTTTCTTTGGCCATCTTTTTTTTTTCTTCAGTATTGTGGATTAAACTCAGGGTCACTTTGCCACTGAGCGATTATTTGCAAACCATTTTATTTTTATGTACCAGGGATTGAACCCAGAGGTACTCAATCACTGAGGATCATCCCTAGTCCCCTTTTTAAATTTTATTTAGAGAGAAGGTCTCTAAATAGCCTTTTCTTTTAGAGATAGGGCCTCTGCATGGCTTTGAAATAGTCTCTCTAAATAGCCTCCCAAGTTGCTGGAATTACATGCATAAGCCACTGTGCCTGACCTTTTTCTTCTTGGCCAGATATGTTTTTATTACTCAAAATCTTCTTTGTTTGTTCATTAAAACCTGTCCAATTTGTGTAGTACATTTTGTTGGGAATGGTAATTATAGGATAGTTGAAGTCTATAGAATTTTTTCTTCTTTGCCGATTAATGGGAAAGGAGAAGTTTATTTTAGGCCATATTTGCTATGGGTTTGAGGACAGAATCATCCCAAAAGGCAGGATTTATAGTAAATTTTTATTGTATGAGTGTTTCCTGTATTGTAGTGTTTCTTATACCTTATCGGAAACCAGAGAATGAGTTTCTGCTACTATAATACCTGTCTCTTTTTTTTTTTGTTTTGTTTTTTCCTGCTATACTCTGGCTAGAATCCAGGGATACATTACCACTAATACATCCCCATTTATTTTCATTTTTTATTTTTTTAGACAGACTCTTATAGTCTGCCCTTGAACTTGAGATCCTCCTGATTTATCCTCCCAAGCAGCTGAGATTACAAGTGTATAGCACCATATCCAACTTATAAACCCCTTCTTGTTCAATAGTTTGTGGATGTTGGAAGATGAGGTGGTAGATGCTAGGGATTTAAAGAGAATGAAATTGTTTTTACTCTGAAGTAAAATGAAATGAAGAAAATATCCAAGTACTATATTATTCATAGTCTAAATGTATTGGGCATTCAGTTGCCCAAGTGGTGTGAACATTATTTTTAAAAAATCTTTGTGGATTTTTTCGCAGATTTTCCGCAGATTTCCAGTGGCCCCACTGATCCCTTATCCACTCATCACCAAGGTTTGTTTAAATCTTATGCTTGACAATACTTGTGTTTACTGCTAATTGCCTAATTTGATTTCTGTCAGATTTCATTATTTAAAATGTTAGATTTGTTAGTATAGGTGTTTTTGTTTATTTATATTTTGTTAAGACTTGTACAATATGTCTAACCTTTAAGTCTTTCTATTGATGTGGGTTTTTCTTTATTCATTACTTCCTGTTCCCCTTGTTTTTTAGGAGGATATAAATGCCATAGAAATGGAAGAAGACAAAAGAGACCTGATATCACGAGAGATCAGCAAATTCAGAGACACACACAAGGTAGTATTCTTGTTTTTTCACTTGATTTCAATCTAGACTTTTTACAGAATCCAAAGCAAACAGACAAGAAAATCAACCTTACATTAGAATATATTTTTAAATGTTTTTTTGTAGGTTTAATTGATACTTAGGTAAAAACAAAGAAAAACAAGACTAGTATCATATTAAAGTGGTCCTTGACATACTGTGCTTAGTTTTTTCAGTTACTGACTACTCTACAGTCATTTCACTTTAATATGAATAAAAGTTAATTTTTAGATTTCAACATAAACATCAAGGTCAGATTTAAATTAGTTTCAAGGGGACATTAGGATAACATACATATAGTGTAGTATATTTCTGGGGACAGTGTAACTTAATTTTAGGAAAACCTTTTCTTTAGAGCTGAGATTAAAATTTAAGATTTATATTTGTTTAGATTTTAGTTGAGTGGGGGAGATTTTTAAAAGTAAGTCAGTGGTTACCAGACTTACCAAATTTTAGATGCATGGAAGAACTGTAAATTCCCATAAAGCTAATCTATTCATTGACCCCCACCATTATGATAGAGATCATATGGTGACTAATGCAAGATGAAACTCTCAGCTTGGAAAGTAACAAGGAATAGGATGTAAGTATGAGCTTCTGTTTTTTATTATATTTATGGATGCCCCCTCAGAAAAATATGCAAAGGGGTAACTGGCTTGGAAATGGGTATTTGTGTCTAGTAAATCCCACTCACGAGTTTTGCCTATTTAAAGCTTCTCTCAATGACAGTGCATCTGGGAGTGTTCGCTGGTGTTAAAGGTGATGCTTATGGATGGTGAAATGCAAAAATGCATGAAATGTATTTTGAAGGTAGAGATAATAGGATGTTACTGGTTATTGTTCATAGTCTGAGAGATCTTTAACTCAGTGAAATGTTAAGTGTTCATTGTGTCTCTGTTCAATTTGATTTTTTTGTTTTCTCATTGCTTTCCATATCCTATGTTGACAATGAATGCCAGTGAATCAGTGTTGCTGAACACTTAATGTCCAGAGGCCCAGCCATAGCCCACCTACACAGTGCTTTCTCAGGAATTTAATGTGTCTGAAAGCACACGTGCAATTCTCCCAAAATCTGAGTCCAATGGTGATCTGTTGGAGTTCATTTTATAGGAATACTTTTGTTTAGGTTCAATACTCAAATTTAGGGCTGAGTAAGCTTAAAAATGGTATATAGTTGTGTGTGTGGTTTACCCCCCCTTTTTGTTTTTATTTATTTGTCAAACCTTGTTGTGCTATTAGTAAATTATGAGGAAACCATGTTTGAAAAAAATTCAAAAGATAATTCCTTCATAATTTAAGAACTTTCAGGCATTTCATTGCCTTACTATTATTTTAATGGGCTGAATGTTTTGAATTTCCAAAATGCTTTAAATATTAAAAAATCAAAACAAAACAAAAATAGTTCTCATTGGGTGGTGTGATTAAAGAGGGTATTTGAAATTCTAGTAACAAGAAATGAGCTCAGTGAACCTTTGCATGTTTTGATATGAGTTTATTAAATAACCACGGACTGTCAGGGTATCAGCGTGGCAGGGGGCGTCCATTTACAGCACGGATGAGTCTGAAGAGAGAATAAGGTAAGATTTTTAATTTTTAAAAATCTATCCTTTCCTTTTTTCTTTTACTATCTTACATTTTTTAGACACGTCCCATTTCTTCTTTCTCCAGTCTCTAAAAATATACATATATATGCTATATATATATATGTCTAAATATATCTCCTTGTGTGCACATACATACACACATATATAGCATATATAAATAAATAACTTTTTAGAAAAACATTTAGTATGGAGTAGAACCTCATTTTCATTTATATAGAACCAAATTTTTGTAATGAGTTTTGAAACATTATGTAATAGAATAAATAACATAGTGAATGAGCAAAAGTACAGAATTGAGGAATTGTACAGTAGAAATTAATATTGGAACAGCTAAAAAAATCTGTAAGTATCTACAATCTCAGAAATAAATTTCTTATAAGTGTATGACATTGAGGTAAGTTTTAAGTAGTCTAGCCTCATTTTATAGTATAAGTTTCTATCTTTCATTAGAAGTGTTTCAGAACTGAGATTTTTGACCCCTTAATAGTTTTCAGTTTCTGTTTTCTACCATTTCTTATCTCTTCCTTTTGTAGTTTCAATGTATTCAGTACTGGCTCTGCCTGCACTCTGCTTTGATTTAGACGGGCATGGTAGCTGAATATATTGATGTCTCATGCATTAGCTTTTCTTTCATAATCCTCTATCAGTTCTCTGATCCATGAGAAGAGGCAAAAGAGTATCTCACAGGTAAGACTGCTTTTAAAGTTGTTTTAAATGCTTTACATGACTGAGAAAAGAAAAATGGACATTTTATTGTTGCAGTTTAAATTTCATTTTGGTGAAACTAAACATGGAACCAAAGGGATAAATGTGTTTTGGTTTTGTTTTGTTTTACCTGTTTGGTTTTTCTTTTTCTTTTCTTCTGAGTTTATATAGAAACCTTGTGGTACACGGGTTATATTTCAGGGTACAAACTTGGTCTGACTTTGTTATTTGGTTTATTTGTGAACGATGTACTTGCTCTTCCTCCCAGAAACATAGCTTGTAGGCAAGGTTAATCCAGTGTTGGCGATCCATGTCCTAGCACAACATCTGTAAGTTAATACACAATCATTCCTTCCAGGATGGATTTATCATTGTAAATATATTTTTATTGTCTTACAGGCATAATGACATAAATATATTGCTTTTACATGTATTAACTGAAAATATTACAATAATGTACATTTTTGCTTGAAGTGAGTGATTTTCAAAGTTTTTGTATTTGGTGGGCTGTCCATCTTGTAATGGTGGGAGTAAATATTTCCATAGATAAGAAGGCAGATCTTGGCTGAATTCAGGTCATGTTTCTTTTGGCGGGTGGGCAAAGAAGAGGGCAGAATACTGGTTACATAACAGTGACTTCACTCTTTTCTGCCTTCTCTTTAAAGTCCTCAACCCTTAACCTTTAAGTAATGGAAAAATCTTTTTTTTTATGATTAGTATTACTGATTTACAGAGATTCATAATGGGCAGAATTCACTTTTAGTCAAGTGATTGTATTTCTAGAAATTATGAAGAACCATCACATTCCTCATTGTCATTTTAGTATTAATCATTGAGTGGATAGCCACACTTGACACAATCTCCCAGCATCCAAGATTGGAGATTCCTGGTCTGTGTAGAGTATATGGTTTTGCACGAAAAAGTAGTCTTGTGATTGTTTCAGTTTAATTTGTCAAGTAAAACCACAGATATTTAATATTAAAGTACCAGTGGTTTGATGTTTTGTTCCTAATAATGGGCATTGCGCCGGGAAAAGCCTGAATACTGAAGCTGCAGAGTTAACTCTAAAAGTACTTTTATTGGTTTCTAGAAACTGGAAGAAGAGAAAGGCAAAAAGGAAAAAGAAAGACAGGAAATTGAGAAAGAACGGAGAGAAAGAGAGAGGGAGCGTGAAAGGGAACGAGAAAGGCGAGAACGGGAACGAGAAAGGGAAAGAGAACGTGAACGAGAAAAAGAGAAAGAACGGGAGCGGGAACGAGAACGGGATAGGGACCGTGACCGGACAAAGGAGCGAGATCGTGATCGGGATCGAGAGAGAGATCGGGACCGGGATCGGGAAAGGAGCTCAGATCGTAATAAAGATCGGAGTCGATCAAGGTAAGTATTTATGGAACTAATTATGATTAGTGGATTTGGTTGGAGTACGATTAGTCCTCCCTGTTACCATTTGCATTTATGAATTAAGAGAACTTTCCTAGCTAGGAAACATTCCTGGCTTTCTACACAGATGGATAACATTGGTGAAATTAATAATTTCAGCTGTGTAGTTAACTTCTCCATGAAGCCTGTTTTTAGGGACCTCTAGAATGTACAAGCTATTTACTATTTTCTGGGCAGACATAAGTAGTTATCTTTTCTGCAGGCAGTTTTTCTAGGAGGCCTTTCATTGACGTCCTGTATATTGAAAAGTTTGCTGTAGCATTTCTCCATTTAGCCCTGGTGTGTGTGTTTATTTGTATCCCCTAAGAGTGCTACAGCTTACCTTTTGGCTCCTAGTAATTTCACCTTTGTGGACTGGTTGTTTTTCATTTAAAATTGTGTTGTAATTTGATTTCATTTGAAAAGTCATCTCATTCTTTATAGGAATTAAGGCAGAAGTGAACAAATGAAGCAAGGAGATAATAGGAGGAGGGAAGAAAAGTCACATTCTTTTTCACCCTAGTTTTGAAATACACATTACTTACGAAGTTTTTTACTTGATTGTAGACGGAAGGAGGTACACTTTTGTAGTTTCAGTATGGGCTCACAGCCTGTACTTTACATTAAATTCCGTCCTTTCCTTCCTTCATAGCTGTTATGGAGAATTTGATGTGAAAAATCAAAGTATTGTTTTACAAACTTTTATGGCAGATATGTATATATCACTGGCATCATTCTAAATATTTTATGTTATTTTTGTCATTTAGGACTTTATGGTTGACATTTTTAAATGCTTATATGTCAATATTTATACTTTTTGCCCAGGCAATGTGGAAAAATTCTCTTCGTGTTTGTCAGTACCATATTACTTGAGCACTAGTTAGGTAAATCGACTGTTAATATGTTCATTGTGTTTTCTTTGGTATTGAACAATGTCTTTTTTTTTTCCCTATTATATACTATATTATATAATGTAATATGTATATAATATGTAATATCTCTTAATTTTTTAATCTTTTTAAATCTCGGTTTTATGTGTTTGTTTTCTGACAAACAAAGAAGCATTAATTTTCACTGTAGACTGCATTTCACAAATTGGGGCTGCAAGTTGTCATTCTTTGCTCTGCCCCTTTTCCTTTGCTTTCCTGATTTTTTTTTTTAACTTTTTTTTCTATACAACATTTTTCATCCTCAGCGCCTAGTGTGTCTTTCCAAAGAGTATAGAGAAGTTTAAAATTCTAAAAAAAACAAATGATAAATTCTGGATTGAGAATTTGTATGTTGGTATATATAATATATATGTTCTTGGTCCTTAAAAGAAAAGTTAAATTAGTCCCACAGAGTTTTAAAAAATCTTTCCTTTATATAGAGAAAAGAGCAGAGATCGTGAAAGGGAACGAGAACGGGAAAGAGAGAGAGAGCGAGAACGGGAGAGAGAGCGAGAACGAGAGCGCGAAAGAGAGCGAGAAAGAGAACGGGAACGCGAAAGAGAGAAAGACAAAAAACGAGACCGAGAAGAGGATGAGGAAGATGCATATGAAAGAAGAAAACTTGAAAGAAAACTCAGAGAGAAAGAAGCTGCTTATCAAGAGGTAAATTAAGGAAATGCTTTCATTAGCGCACAAACGTGTGTATGTGTGTGTATGATATTGGGGTTCAAACATGGAGCCTCACGCATGCTGAGCAAGTGTTAACACCACTGAGCTACATCTCTAGCACTGTTTGAATTTTGTTTTGAGACAGGTTCTTGCCCATGCTAGACTTGAACTTGTAAGTATCCTGCCTTAGGTTCCTGATTATCTGGGATTATACATGTGCACTTTCATGCGTGCCCGCGCACTCACACACGCCCTTTAATAACATTTGTGCAAGTTTAATACATTTTTACAAATAACTTTTTGTGCTTCTAGTTTTTTTTAAGTATATATTTTTTAGTTGTATTTTATTTATTTTTATGTAGTGCTGATATTCAACCAGCACGTGCTAGGTGAGTGATGTACTGTTGAGCCACAACCCCAGCCCCTGTTCTTCTGTTTTTAAAGCATGTTAATTTTGGAGGGCAGGGGGAATCTGTATATGAGGCAAGCAGTTTACCAGCTGAGCTATATTCCCCGTCTCTGTGTTATATTTTGTAAGTTATTGTGGGATCCTTAGTATAAATTTTTAAGGCTTGAAAATTTCTTTTTTAGCGTCTTAAGAATTGGGAAATCAGAGAACGGAAGAAAACCCGGGAATATGAGAAGGAGGCTGAAAGAGAAGAAGAAAGAAGAAGAGAAATGGTAAGATTCCAGGTTAAAAATAAGTGATTTTGATCTTACAGTTGTAGCTCAGTAGTAGGGTGCTTGACAAGCATGTATGAGACACTGGGTTTGATTGTCAGTACCACATAAAAATAAATAATAAAATAAAGTTATAAGAAATACAAGAACATTTTTAAAAATTGTTTTTAGGTAAAAACCAGATTGATTCTTACTGTTAACTAGAACTAACTTTAAAATCATATTATATTAACTTCATAGTTCTTAGATAATTTTTGTGTATTTCAAGCCATCCTGACACATTTTCAGTATGCAGATCTTTTGTTTTACGTTTTTGCTGCCCATAAAATTATATAAGCATAATATTTAAATAAGTTTATCATAATGTATAAACAGTGTTTCTAGAACATGTTTTGGTTAAGAATCCACAAAATATAGTTGGCTAAAGCAAATAATTTGAAAAGACTTGTTTTAATAAATCAAAAGTAATGTTTTTCTGTATAACATGTTGTTCCTTAGCTCAACCATATTATTCTTTAACAACAACATGAACTTAAAATGAATTTTGCCATTTGTATTTACACTATTCCTAAGCTAATAGTAAAGCAATTGGCATAGTTATTAAGTAAACTGATGAAGAGATTATTTTATCATAGTATTTGCTTTAGTGGTATGTTCCATGTGTTCTGTCTTTGCCAGAATATGGAATTTTCTTTATCTCCAGTTTGGAGATTATTCATCCAAAACTTCCCTGGAGTTAGGAATCTTCTCCAAATAGCTTTTGACCATGAAACATAGAGGGATTTTTTGTAAGTAACCTGAAGGGTGCATGCAGCAAATACATAGATATTATGGCTTTTCCATATGTTAGATCCAGTGTTAGACATATTCATTATATTTTTAAAAATTAGATTAAAAATTATAAAAATTATAAAAGGCAGGCTGGGGTTGTACCTTAGGTGTACAGCACTTGCCTAGCATTGTTAAGTACTGGGTGCTATCCTCACAACCACATAAATATAAATAAGTAAAAAAAGTATTGTGCGAACCGCAACTAAAAATATTAAAAATAAAAAAAATTAAAAGGCTAGAAATCTACAACCATGATAGTGTGTGTGTTCCTGGGTTCAATCCCTATTACTGCAACAAAAGGCTTTAAAACTCCTGTTTTAGAATTTCTTTTTCATTCTTAAGATTAGAAACTAGGAAGAGAATAATATATGAGAGAGTATTAATTAGGGGAAGAAATGCAATCAACAGCATTGTAATGATTCTTTTAATTCTTGTAATGATTCTTATCCTTACATGGTAATCTGAAGCTTTTCTATAGACAAAACATTGTATGTGAATCAGTTGTATTTATGAGTTAAGAAAATCCAGTTGCATAAGCAGTTACTTGCTCATGTTCTTGTTTCACCCCCATCATCTTATGAGTAGTAAGCTGTGTTTATATTTCAGTGTTAACCTGATGGGCCTTCCTGTGTACCCATACTTCAATAATTAAAGACATGTAAACACTGTCAGTTACTGTTGTCAGCATACTAACTCCTTTAATTCATTTGACAAATTTGAGTGTATTCCACCGTGTATCTTAAGTACTGGGCATATAAGAATTACTAATTATCCTAATTTTGAAATGAGTATCCTTATTGAATAAAGCAATTATTGTAAGGGGCATGTTTTGAGTGTGTTTAACATGCCCTCACAATATTTTAGAAGCATAGGAAGAATACTATTTTCTGCTTTCAAGGAGGGCTTTTCATGTTTATTATATTGTGGAAATTTGCACTAGATGAAATGTGTCAAAAACCATTGTGTGCTTTGTATATAGACATGAGTTTTTTATTTAATAGTTACTATAGATAATAGATACATGGAGATAAAATAATTAGGTATGATTGTTATATTTGTTAAACTGGAAATTCTAAAAATAAGTGATTTCATGTAGTGTCGTGGTTGGTTCTATCAGCTTAATGTTAGGTAGACAGGTGGGAAATTTTTTTGAGTGTAGTCTGATTTATTTTTAAAAAAATTGTTCTTTATAGATATACATGACTGTAGAATGCATTTTGACATACATACATGAAGTATAACTTATTGTAATTAGGATTTCAGTCTTGTAGTTGAACATGATGTGGAGTTACAGTGCTTATGTATTGATATATAGGGTGGGAAATGTTTTTTTTTAAGTTAGGTAGGTATTTCCTTTATATTGGTGCATGAACATAAATCAAAATTTTTATCTTGATTTCATTAGAAACAGCATCATCTATGGATAAAATAAAATTTAAAATATTTTTTGATTAATAAATTTAATACCTTCTATTTCCTACTGTGCCCAGATTTCATTGGTGAATAATTATTGTAAAACTGATAATTATATTCACACAGAAGATATTATTTGTAACATACTGTTTTTTTCATAGATTAAATCCTAAAGCTATTGTTTTGTAGATAAAAGAAGTATGATTTACACTTAATACATGAAGTATATAAGAACTCTAAAATTGAAGTAATTTGAATAAGAAAAAAGTGTATTCCCAAGAAAGGACAAGTGGAATATATGAATGACTCTTTTATGTTACTTTTGTATACTTTGTTCTTCATTTCCTAAAAGGCTAAAGAGGCTAAACGACTAAAAGAATTCTTAGAAGACTATGATGATGATAGAGATGATCCCAAATATTACAGGTAAGGAAGCTTTGCTTTATGAACTTATACTTCAGGTTATTTTCTTGTTGTTGATGATGGTGTTGTTTTTGTGGTGCTGAGGATTGAACCCAAGACTTTGCCCATGCTAGATGAGTGCTATACCACTGAGCCACTTCCTTGGCTTAGTTTTGTATTACCTTGTGTACCTGAGAGTGCAGGTTTCCTAAGTGTAGAAAGAAAGCTTGAAATGATTTGTGGGACCTGGGGTGAATAAGAGAATCAGGAGTAAGGTATTAGGAAAATATAAATAATTCAGTGTTATCGTTTGGATTGGGGAAACATATAATAGTATACCAAAGAATACTTTTTTTCCCAATTGTTATATAACAAACCCTTATGGATATTTAATGTTTTCAAGAAAGTTTTGTTTTTGAGGAATTCAAGAGTGGTATATGTCAATCTTCTTTCCCAGTTTTCTACTTAATCCGTATAGTGATTCAGCCCTATTTTATATTTTATTGATAGAGTCTCACTGAGTTGCTTAGTGCCTTGCTTTTGCAGAGGCTGACTTTGAATTCTTGATTCTCTTGCCTCAGCCTCCCAAAATGTTATGGTTATCGGTGTGTTCCCAGTGTTCTCTGGTATTTCTATTCTTTCCTTTTAACACTTATGACATGATGGTAAGATAATTTTTGGTACCTCTCAATCAAACTACATGTTCCTTGAGGTACTGGACAGTATCTTGCTAAAATTTTATTATCTCTACTGTGTGTCATATAGGATGCAGGCATAATAATGGGATTGAATATATTAATCACTATAGGCAAAATATTTAAACACTGAATTCAGTAACTTAAACTGAAGGAGTGCCAATAATTTGACTTTGTAAAAAAATGCTGCAAAGTAGGGAAAATTATTGAGTTCTAGAATCATAAAATAGTAATGCATAATTATACATTCTGAAACATGATGGATTATTACATAGGAGCAACTTCTCCTTTTTAAAACTTTTAGTTGGTGAATTTTAAAATTTTATTTATTTATTGGATTGTTATGTGGTATTGAAAAACGAACCCAGTGCCTCTCAAAATATAAGCATGTGAGCTACCACTGAGCCACAGTCTCACCCCAGGAACTTCTCCTTTCTATGGATTCTGCATTACTTCATTCTGGAATGTTTCTATAAGGAAAAGAATGAATTGAGGATACAACCTTTTTTGTTTTTTTAATTGATTAAGTACTGAGGCTTTGTATATAATCTTCAATTAAATTACATCCCCCAGTCCTGAAACTATTTTTAGTGGTATTATTAATGCTGCTTATATTAATTTTTCAATATTTTTGCATTGAGAAAATCCCAGCAAGGTTGGCATTTGAGGAAATTCCAGCTATTCACTGTGGGGGTTCACTGTGGAATGGGCATGTAATGAAAGCTCCATTACCTCTGAAAGCTACCTTTTTACTTGTTTTAGATACTTAAAGTGACTTTCAGAATTTAAAATGGTAATTAATGACAAGACTGTTAATTTTTAATACATTAACATGTAGAGATTCATTGTCAATATCCTAGTGAGATAGGACATAATTAAGACAATTTTAATCCTTAGCATAAAATTTTTATTATTGAACAGAGATGCTGTTAGATATATCTGGTGTAATAGTCAATGACCTAAGTGTTAAATGAGAACTGTTACTTTTTTCAGGGGGAGTGCTCTGCAGAAAAGGTTGCGTGATAGAGAAAAGGAAATGGAAGCAGATGAACGAGATCGGAAGAGAGAAAAGGAAGAACTGGAGGAAATTAGGCAACGCCTTTTAGCAGAAGGGCACCCAGATCCAGATGCAGAGCTTCAGAGGGTGAGAGATACTATAATATCTTTAATGATATTGCTTTATGTTTAAAAGCTGTATTTTTTGAAAATAATTTTTTTTGGTTGTAGACGGACATAATATCAAATAAAGATATTTATTTATTTTTATGTGGTGCTCGGGATAGAACCCAGTGCCTCACACATGCGAGGCAAGTGCTCTGCCACAGAGCTACAATCCCAGCCCAAAAGCTGTATTTTTGTTTAAGCAGAATACATGTGAGGCTGGGGTTGTGGTTCACTGGTTAGAGAATTTGCCTATCACAGCGAAGCACTGGGATCATTCTTCTGCACATCTAAATAAAATAAATATGTATAAAAAAGGAATACATGTTAATGCTTCATGGAATTTACTGTTTTGTACTGTTTATTTCATTTTTATTATAGAAATCATCAGGATTTATTTCCTCTTTATTCTGAGTATTTTACAAATGTATGATTAAACAATCGCAAATCATTTAATTTTTTTTTTTTTTTTTTTTGGTGGGAGTGAGGCTAGAACCTTTGGATGCCCTAAAACTCAGCTACATCTAAAAGCCATTTATCCCCCCAACTGAGAACCATTTTTATTTTCTGTTTTAAGGCACATCATCTTTTAGTACATTGCCCAGACTACTTTCAACTTGGAATCCTGGAGCCTTAGCCTTCCAAGTTGCTGGGATTACAATTATGTGTGGTATCATTTTATTTGAAGACATCTTAAAATTCAAATAATTCCTTTGTGTTTCATGATTTTTTTCCCCCCACCTCACTTTTTAAAATTAGTGCTTTATAGTTATTCATAGTGGTGGGATCTTTACATATTTGTATATGCTCACAATATAACAATGTGATTTGGCTAATGTCATTCCCTAGTATTCACCCTTTTCATTGCCTTCTCCCTCTCCTTTGTCCCTTTCTTTTATTTTACTGATCTCCCTTTGATTTTCATGAGATTCTGCCCCTGCCTCCCCACCCCACTCCTTTCTTTTCCATTTTCCTTTCTAGCTTCCAAATGAGAGAAAAATATGACCGTAAACCTTCCAAGTTTGCCTTATTTCTATTAGCGTAATATCCACGGTTTATCCATTTTCTTGCAAATGTCATGATTTGATATTTATGACAATAAATCTCCAATGTGTGTGTATACCACATCTTTTTTTATCCATTGACGGACACCTAGGGTTCCGTAGTTTGGCTGTTATGAATTGTGGTATAAATGTGAATATGTACTTACTGTAATATGATGACTTTGCTTCTTTAGGATAAAGAGTGGAGTTTATAGCTGGGTTATTTGAGGAACCTCAAAAGTGATTGCCATAGTACTCAAGCTGATTTATAATACCACAGATATGTTCCTTTTTCTCCATTTTCTTTCCATTGGTGACTCATTTCTTGTCACCATGAATATATGAAGCATAACATATATTCCTTTTTTATACATATTTATTTTATATAGATGTGCAGAGGATGGATCCCAGTGCCCAGTGGCTAGAATTGTGTTCTTCCTATAATTTGGTAATGTTTAATACCTTCCTGTGATTTGAATTGCCTTACCTCCTTTTTCACCCCAGTACTGGGAATAATTTTAGGGTGCTTAACCACCAAGCCAGGTTCTCACCAAATTGTTTATGACCTTGATAAGTTGGTAAGGCTATCCTCAAACTTGTGATCCACTTGCCTTAACCTTCAGAATTGCTGGTATTACAGGCATCTGCCAGCTCGGTTCCCTCTCATAAAATACAGATATATATATTTTTTAAGAGAGAGAGCGAGAATTTTTTAATATTTATTTTTTAATTTTCGGCAGAAACAACATCTTTGTTTTATATGTGGTGCTGAGGATAGAACCCGGGCCGCACGCGTTCCATTTTTGTTAGCAGAATGTCATTTAAAAAAGGAACAGACCCTTTTCTTGCATTTAAGAATGGAGTGTCATTTTAGAAAAGTTTTTAGTTCTCACTATATGGTGAATCTAATAATCTTATGAATTTTTGTTAAGTTCTTGTGTAAGTAAAGAGAAAGTTCAATATAGATAACAAAAGGAATCATTTAATGATATAGTACCCTAATTTTAGTAACCGTAATGATGCTTTCTTTTCATGTAGTTTTCATCTTTTTGTTGTTCATCGTTGACTCAGATTCCTTACTTTCCCAATTTGTTCTTTACCTTGTTTAGTAATACAAAAATAACTACTAGCTTTAGTCATCACCTAGAGAAATGATTGTCTATGACCATTCTGATGATTTGAGTTCCCTTTTATGTGTTGCCTATACTCTAAAATAAAGCTTTCATTTATAGTTCAGTGAAAATATAAACATGCTGAGTGTGGTTCCACACACCTGTAATCCCAGAAGCTCAAAAATCGGAATCAGGAGGATTGTAAATTCAAAGCCAGCCTTTGGTTAAGCACCCCTGTTTCAATCCTCAGTACCCAAGAAACAAAACAAGAAACAAAATAACCCCGGAAAATATAAGCATATACTGTGGCCTTTTGAATTCAGCAGATTAGTTTGTATTTGTCTTTGTAACCTTTGAAGATCTTGTATAAGTCATTGAAGGATTTATTCAGTTTTCTGATTATCAAGTAAATAGTGTTCAGTCACACCTAAGCAACAAAAAAAGATAGGGTTGTGGATATAGCTTAGAGGGAGTTTATGCTTATGTTTGTAAGGCTCTAGGTCCAACAAAGAAAAGTTATTGTACAGAAAAACATTGTAAATCAAAAAACAAGTTAGGATTGTGTTCTCTTTTAAATAACTTTTTTGTTTGTAGATGGAACAAGAGGCTGAGAGGCGTAGACAACCACAAATAAAGCAAGAGCCAGAATCAGAGGAAGAAGAAGAAGAAAAGCAAGAAAAAGAAGAAAAACGAGAAGAACCCATGGAAGAGGAAGAAGAACCAGAGCAAAAGCCTTGTCTCAAACCAACTCTGAGGCCCATCAGCTCGGCACCATCAGTTTCCTCTGCTAGTGGAAATGCAACGCCCAACACTCCTGGAGACGAGTCACCCTGTGGTATTATTATTCCTCATGAAAACTCACCAGATCAACAACAACCTGAGGAACATAGGCCAAAAATAGGACTAAGTCTTAAACTGGGTATGTTAACATTTCTCCTCACCCATGAGTATATTTTGCTTTAAGGAAAAATAAATAATACTCTCCTTGGTAGGTAGATAGAAAAATATTAAAAATGCCTTTCTAGCTCACGATTGTTTTCATAGTCCTACTAGTGCTCCTTATCTGCAGCTGCCTCGAGTTCTGAGAAGAAGTGAAAAGTTAAATTTTCTAGCACTTGTGAGTAGTGAGTTATTTTTTACAGTTGGCCTCTTTCTCTGAGATTTGTGAAAGTAATTTCTGCTGATTTTGAGGGATGGTGGGTTGTCAGATGTTGACATTTGGCAGTGAAGTCATCTTGCTAACATAGTGTTTTTACTATAGGTGCTTCCAATAGTCCTGGTCAGCCTAATTCTGTGAAGAGAAAGAAACTACCTGTAGATAGTGTCTTTAACAAATTTGAGGATGAAGATAGTGATGATGTTCCCCGCAAAAGGAAACTTGTTCCCTTGGATTATGGTGAAGATGATAAAAATGCTGCCAAAGGCACTGTAAACACTGAAGAAAAGCGCAAACATATTAAGAGTCTAATTGAGAAAATTCCTACAGCCAAACCTGAGCTCTTTGCTTATCCTTTGGATTGGTCTATTGTGGATTCTGTGAGTAGCAAATTGTATATCATGAAGTTATTGGGAATGGATTTAAATATGGCATGCTTATTTTATTATATTAATGACAACAGGTAGGGATGATCTTGACACTGAGTAAATGCCACAGTCAAGGAATTTCTAATGGGAAAACTCTTGGTAGTTGACATCTTTATTGATTACAAGAAATGAGTATGTCTTGGTGTGTACCTGTCTTAGTTCAACTTGCAAAGGAACATACTATATTTTACTTTAGGGTTTAGTACATGTAGTAAAAGATATAATTATTTTATTCATTAACCATGTTATGTTTTGTAGATATTGATGGAACGACGAATTAGACCATGGATTAATAAGAAAATCATAGAATACATAGGTGAAGAAGAAGCTACATTAGTTGATTTTGTTTGTTCTAAGGTTAGTCTTTTATTCTCTCCACTGTTAACATTTATTTGATCACTAGTTTAACATTTAAACTAGTAGACATTTTGTGAAATAAGAAAGTCTTACAGAATCCTTCATAGTGTAGTTTCATTTAAGTGATCCATTGCTGCTTCTCTACCCTACTTTACATCTGTAAAACCACTTGCTTTCCATTAAGAGTAAAAGGAGGACAGAGCTGTTGACTGATGTCTAATCTGCTTTGTCTTGTTATTATCTATTGACTGTTTATAAAGTTATTGGTAGGTTCTGTGTTAACATTTTGTTAGTCTTTAAAACCTCCTGAAAACTATAGGAAATAGTAAGTCACTTAAGTATTCCCATGAAGAAACAGGTTAATGGAGAGGTTGTCTCTTGGCCATGACAAGGGTTTTCTTTAAGGTAAAGAGATTAAAAAACTGATTAGAGAAGTTGATTATGGTTAGAACGAAATAAATAATAGCATCTTGCCTCTAAAACCAATATTCCTTCTCCCACCAAGGTGTATTATGTCCTTCCATTATCACCTCAAATAGTAGTAATACAAGATTTATTGGGAGTAGAAACATTATTTTCCTATAAAGGTGTAATTAATTCTGTCATTCTCCACCAGGAGTGCTTTTTTCCCTTTTTCTTCCTCCTCTCCCCTCCTCTTTTCTTTTCTAACCTTTATCTACAGGGGATGAAACCCAGGGCCTTAATAAGCATTAGGTGAATGCTATACCACTGAGCTTTACCTCCAATCCCAGGACTGCTTTTTTTTAACAAGTATGTATAGGAGACTTAGGCTCCAAACTTTGAATTACAAATGATAGATATTACTGTGATTAAGATTTTAGAATGAAAATCTAATGGAAAGTTTGCTCAGACATAAGAAATTCCCATTACCCATTTGAGGGTCCATTCCTTAAAACTTTTTGGCTATATTGCAGTGTTTTGTTTTCAGTGTGCATTTTTTTTCCCCTTTTTTAAGGTTATGGCTCATAGTTCACCTCAGAGCATTTTAGATGATGTCGCCATGGTAAGTTAATAATCCATTATTTTTATTAATATCTATATGAAGAAACTAATTTGTGAATTTGAATCATTTTTTAATCTATGCTGATTTTAGAAATTTTTTTGTTAGGCCTGTATTAAAATTTGAATGTATGTTAAAATATTAAAGAAATTTACAATATAAAAATTAAATTCTGGATTTGTTGTATATTCTGAGACCATTTATTAAGAGCTTACTGATTAGATTAGTTTGCTAGAAACATTAAAAAGTACACCATCTGCTCTTAATTACCTGGTTGTATTTATTTAATATTTAATATTGTGATTTAATGAGAAAAGTAGGAAAAGAGAGTTGATGGGAAAGGTGAGGGAGTAACAATGAGATCTATGTCTAAGTTAGAGAATAAAATAATAACCTGAGTAGAACTGTGAATCAAGAACTGGTGGTTCCAATGAAGTTCTGGGAAATATGTTGGAATAAAACAACTGGAAAGAGAGGTTATGATCACAGAGTAGAGTGTTTAAGAATATAAGTGGTAAATCAGTCCAGATGGTAGCAAGCTGTGAAGTATAGATGGTGGAAATTTCTGTGTGTTGGGAAAGGATTAGAAAACAATGTTGGGAGTCAACTGCCAGAATACTTATTTTAATGTGGGGCGAAGAATAGACTGGCTAGGTAAACTCCTGTTGGAGCAAAGAGGCTAATGTAATGAGATCTCATGCATTGTCCATGGAGGTGTTTTTAAAATTTTTTTTTAATGTTTATTGATTTTTATCTGGTACTGAGGATTAAACCCAGTGCCTCACTTGTATGAGACAAAAATTCTGCCATTGAGCCACAACCCCAGCCCCTTGGATGTGTTTTTAATAAGAATAGAAACAGTAAAGAACAGCAGCCTCTCCTGTGGATACTAAAACATGACATGATCCTGAGAAGATTACTGAAATGTCAGAGGCTCAAGGGGCCAGTTAAGGGTTTCCATTAAAGTAAAGAGATGAAAAAAACTGGTTAAAGAAGTTGATTATGGCTAGAATGAAATGGAATAGGTGTCCAAAGGGGTGAGTGAGGAGGCAGCAATGCAATAAGTCAGAGAGGAAGAAGAAAAGTCAAACATGAAGAATGACTAAGAGAGTGACCATTTTCACCTTTAAGTCAATATGTAAGTGAGAGGTACAGTGGGCTTCCTCGCCAGGAGGAGGTAATTTGTGATAGAGATGTTTTGTGTCCAAGTACAGTATGTGTCTAAAGCCAGGTAACATTTGTTTTCTACCCCCACCCCAAAGCCTGATGATTTTGTTTAGAATTCCTTTTCACGCTCTGTGAAAAGTTTGTTGTCTTCGCAATGCTTAACCTCAGAGGAAAGGAGAAATATGTATAGGTCTCCCTAGTTAAGGTTGAATTCTGATCTTTTTCTGTGCTTCTAATCTCTTTTAAATGTTATACTTTTGGTAGAGTTAGGGTATCTAGTTAGGCCTGGCTGAAGAAAGTTTTTCAAAGTGGATGTTCTTGTTTTGGGTGTTGGCAGAGTTGTATTCACAGTGAAGATATTTTCATTTTTCAAGCACTCTTGCTTTTCAGTATTTCTGGCTCACTGTTGATCACAGTGGTAGGAAGCCAGCATTACTTAAGTGTTGTCAAATAGTTCTTTTAAATAAAGCTCATGGGCTCTCTGAGTATTTCTTGAATGAGATGTAAATTTTAGTTCAAGTAGTACCTTAATAAATATCTGACTTTATCAAATTATACCTTTCGTTGTTAACGAAAGGTATAATTAACGAACTTTGGTTTTACTTTGTGCCTGTATATTATTTATGAAGTATGACTAACATGAACTGTTGCATACAGGTTCTCAGGCTAGGAGCAAATGTGAATATAAGACTGATTAAAAGTCCTTTAGTTGTGATCTTTGAGAAGTGGAAAAAATCAGTCATGAAAATAAAAATTTCTGTCTTCATATAAATACTCAACTAAGCACTAATTATGACTAAGTACTCTTCAGAGCACTTTGCATATGAACTCTTATTTCCTAAAGTAGAACCTAAGGTTCTTAACATAGATAGGTATAAGTCTTCCATTTTACAATGAAGGGAACTGAACCTGGTCTGGGCTCAGAGCAGGCTTTGTGGTAGGAACACAAGGCATTGAAGTCCTAAGTTGACAGGAAAAAAATTAGTCTGTTCATTTACCAGTGGAAAAGACTTGTTAATCAATAGTCTTGTTTCCCCTGGTGGTGATGATGGTGTTCTCTTAATGTGTTTACTGTATTCCAGCGACTATTAAATTCTCTATATGTTCTCATTTACTATTTCATTCAGCATCAGCTAATAAGCACTTAATAATGTTAAACACTGTCAGGTTGTTTAGGGGAATAAATGAGAAATAGTTGTATATTTAGTTCTTCCTAAGTCATCCTGGCAAACATTTTGATTTCCTGAGTACGTAGTTCTGCCAGACATGTTTAAATGTATCTGTAAAGTTAAAAATAAAAGAATAAAAATTGGATGAAAGAACATTGTGGTACTAAGTGCTTAGCAAGCCAGTGAATTTTTTAGTGTAGTTCTCACACTATAGAACTTTCCTTTAAGTCATTTTATTGAAAATAAATGCTCTAGCTGGAGCAATCAGACAAAAGAAATTAAAGGGATATGCATATGAAAAAAAGAACTCTAAACTCATATCATAGGCAATCGCTGTTTGCCTATGATATGATTCTATATTTAGAAGTTCCAAAAATTTCCAACAGAAAACTTCTAGAACTAATAAATGAATTCATCAGAGTGGCAGGATATAAAATCCATACCCATAAATCATATGCATTTTTATACATAAGCGAAGAATCCATTGAAAGAGAAATTATGAGAACTACCCCATTTAAAATGGTCTCAAGGGGCTGAGGTTAAGGCTCAGCGTTAGAGCGCTCACCTTGCACGTGTAAGGCCCTGGGTTCGATCCTCAGCACCACATAAAAATAAATAAAGTTATTGTGTTCAATACAACTACAAAAATCAGTACTTTACAAAAATAAAATAGACTAAAAAAATACTTGGGAATCAGTCTAACAGAAGAGATGAAAGACTTCTAAAATGAAAATACAGAACAGTGGGCTGGGGATGTGGCTCAATTGGTATCGCGCTCTCCTGGCATGCATGTAGCCTGGGTTCAGTCCTCAGCACCACATACAAAGATGTCGTGTCCGTGAAAAACTAAAAAATAATAAATATTAAAAATTATCTCTCTTAAAAAAAAAAAGAAAATACAGAACACTAAAGAACGAAATTAAAGAAGACCATAGAAGATAGAAAGATCTCTCATGCTCTCATGCTAGCGCTTGAGCCACATCCCCAGCCCCCAAAATGACATTCTTTATAGAAATAGAAAAAGCAATCATGAAATTCATTTGGAGTAATAAGAGATCCAAAATAGCCAAAGCAGAAGGCATCACAGTTCTAGAACTTAAAGTATACCACTAAGCTACAGTAATAGAAATAGCATGGTATTGGCACCAAAATAGACGTGTAGACCAAATGGTACAGAATACAGTTATCCTCATACTAGACAAAGGCGCCAAAAACATACATTGGAGAAAGGATAACCTCTTCAACAAAGAAGTGCTGGGAAAACTGGAAATCCATATGTAGCAAAATGAAATTAAACCTGTATTTCTCACCAACTGCAAAACTCAAAGTGGATTAAGGACCTAGGACCTACATCTAATAGATGAAAAAGTAGGCCCAAATCTTCATGTTGTATTAGGCCCTGACTTCCTGAAAAACATTCCTAAAGCATAAGAAATAAAATCAAGAATCAATAAATGGGAAGAATTCAAACTAAAAAGCTTTATCTCAGCAAAAGAAACAATCATTGAGGCGAAGAGATTTTATAACACACATCAGAGTGCAATCAGAATAGATAAAGAACTCAAAAAACTTAAACCAACATCCATCCTAATCAATAAATGGACAGACACTTCTCAGAAGATACACAGACGGTTAACAAATACATGAAAAAAATGTTCAACATCTAAAATTAGAGAAATGCAAATAAGAACTGCTTCATCCCACTCCAGTCAGAATGGCAGTTATCAAGAAGTGTTATAAGTATTGGGGGGATTTGGGGAAAAAGGTACACTCATACATTCCAGGTGGGACTGCAAATAGGTGCAATCACTTTGGAAAGCAGTGTGGGGATTCCTCAGGAAATATGGAATGGAACCACCATTTGACCCAGCTATCCCATTCCTCGGTTTATTTCCAAAGGACTTGAAATCAGCATACTATAGTGATACAGCCAAACAAACGTTTATAGCAGCTCAGTTCACAATAGCTAAGCTGGAACCAACTAAATGCCCATCAATTGAAGAATGGATAAAGAAAGTGTGGTATATATACACAATGGAATATTATTCAGCATTAAAATTATGGCATTTGCAGTTAAATGGATGGAATTGGAGAATATTATGCTAAGCCTAGTAAGCCAATCCCAAGAAATTAAACGCCTAATGCTTTCTCTGATTAGTGTGTGATGATCCATGATGGAGTGCTATGCATAGGAGAATGGAGAAACTTTAGATTGGCAAAGGAGAGAGTGGAGAGGGAATATGGGGGTAGAAAAAGATGGTGGAATGAGATGGACATTATTACTATGTATGATTGCACGAATGGTGTGTCTTTACTTCATGTACAGCCAGACAATTGAAATGTCACACTCAGTTTGTGTGTGATGAATTTATTAAATGCATTCTGCCGTCATATACAACTAAAAAAATAAAGAAAAAGAAAGGATATGCTTTTCAGTGGATAAAGTTCTAAGTCACTATTGTTGGGAGATGGTGATGATAACTTATCTTCCATGTGTTACTTAGTGTTCTTTTTTTCTCTTGCAGGTACTTGATGAAGAAGCAGAAGTTTTTATAGTCAAAATGTGGAGATTATTGATATATGAAACAGAAGCCAAGAAAATTGGTCTTGTGAAGTAAAACTCTTTTTACATTTAGAGTTCCATTTCAGATTTCTTCTTCCTCACCCTTCAAAGGACTTTGAATTTTTTTTGTCTTCAAAGGCATTTGTGAGATCTGTAATTTTTTTTTAATGTAGAAAATGTGAATTTTTTTTTTTTTTTTGGTCCTCTAATTTGTTAATGCCCTGTGTACTCCCTTGGTTGTAAAGTCATCTGAATCCTTGGTTCTCTTTATACTCACCAGGTACAAATTACTGGTATGTTTTATAAGCTGCAGCTACTGTACACAGCCTATCTGATATAATCTTGTTCTGCTGATTTGTTCCTTGTAAATATTAAAATGACTCCCCAATTCTTCTGCAGAATTCCACTTAATATTGAACCGTACTGTATAGGAACCAATGTGAATGATATTAATTGAAAGTGTATCAGTCATATCTATTACCACCTCCACCCTCCTTTGATGAGAAATGGCAAGCCCTCAAGAAGGCGTGAAATTTAAAATTAGTATCAAAAATTAGCAGACAATCCATTCTTACTGTATCTCCGTATGAGTGTGTTTGTGTGAATGTATGTATAAAAGTCTTTTCCCTAATTGCTTTGCTGGGGGTCCCTTAAATGTTTCCTAACTGAACAATAGAATCAAAAAGGAAAGTGATATTGTGCCAATCCAAATGTCTGATATAATAAGGTTAGAGGTTCCCAGAGCATGGTATTCTCCTGTGGTGAAAAGTAGTCTGCTATTAGGATTAGGTTTTCCTGTGTATAGCTGACTGCTTCAGATTCTTTTGTAAAGGAGTATGGATTCCTCCTCATCCCCAATTTCATTGCTCAGAAATGATGCAAATTCTAAAATTTTGGGAGAGTTTTATTTAGCCCATTTTGTCCCATTGTCTGATATGTGGAATATATATAAAACTTAATTGAGCAACACTTGTGATATACTTGAACATATTTTTGCAAAATTGAAAACTTGGAATTTAATGGGTTTAGTACATTTGTGTAATAACCGGTCCTTGGTCTTAGTGTACTCCTTTGTTTAAGGGGAAAAGAAATCTTCATTCCAAAAGCATTAGTGGAGAAGAAGGGGGGGGGGAAACCTTAAAAGCAAAGGGACTGAGGATGTAGCACAGTGGTAGTCATACTTTTCATGGTAGAGCTCTAGGTTCAATCCCTTGCACCAAGAAATATAAAGTCAAAACAAAAGACAAAATTAGATTAAGTTTAAAAGCTAGAAGAATTTGCCAAACCAGGAATATAGCTTTGCAATTTATAAGGATAAATGATTCAAGGCATTTACCAATCTCTTATCCAAGTTTAAATATAACTGGTGATATGTTTAGAGACATACTAGGGGCTTTTTTAATGGTATATGAGACTATTACCTGGGAGCAAAATATACCTGAAAATCTAACAATTTTTAAACAGTGCTTTCTTAATTCAAATTAGGTGCAGCTTTTCCCATGTCTGTTTATTTAAAAGAAAAAGATTGGCCTGTTAGAAAAGCCTAACTGAGCTTAAGTTACTAGATTTTTTTTTTACATTATTTGAGGACATTTGGAAACACTGTTCTGAAACATTGAGCCATGATATGGTTCCATTATGTAAATATTTGAAACATTAAAAATGTATATATTTGATCTTGGGGATTCATTCTTTCAGAGTTTTGTAAACAATGGCATCATGTTGTAATCATGTAGTACATGCTAGAAAATATGGGATGAATTTTTTAATGGGCTTGGTTTTTATGACTTGGTGTTAGATCAAAGAGGCCTTTTACCTTATTTTGGATGAATCTACAATATATGGAAATATGTCTTTGTGGTGATAAAATATTTTAAATTTTGGTTTCTTAAGGGAAAATTTCAGAAAGATGCTCCTGTAATTGTACAAATTTATTAACCTTCTCTCAGATTCATCCTGGCTATCAGCCTAAGATCTAGGCCACAGCAGTTTATTTTGCTCCTGTATCTTACCATATTGCATAGTAATTGCTTCTAAGATATTACATTAGGTGGCTTTTATTTAATATATATTCACATTTTTTAGATCAGAGCAGGAGTGAGCATAGTAAGTAGCAGGGATTCAAAGACTTAAAGTCATGGTCTAATGCTAGCTCAAATCAAGTTTTGTCACTAAGCTTCATCAAAAATCTTTTAGGTTTTCAGAGTTTCTTCAGAATTACATATAAAGAATTGGACATCTATAAAGTGGCATATTCTAGTGTCTTGCAAAAATGTTTCTCTGAAATTCTTTGAATTTTGTCTTTACCATGAGCCTATAAATTAATTTCAGTTAGGAAACCTTATATTAATTCACATTGCACATTCAAATTATTATAAAACTACACTAAAAAGTCCTAAGAACCATTGCTGATTTGGCATTTAGAAAACTAAAATGCTGTTTCCTCATTTGACTCTAAAAATAATTTAGGTATATATACAGCTATTTACAAAGGAAGAAAGGTAAGTAAAAAAAAATTAAGGTAGTTTTTCTTAAACTTCCGTGTGTGCTTAAATCACTTTGACCTTGTTCTAGTTCAGAACTTTGTTTAGTAGGGCTGGGTAGTCCTGACATTTTGCAGCTCCCGTTTGATGGCAGTGACAACTGATCTAAGGACTGTATTTTGATGAGCACTTTAAGGTAACTACTCAGTATTATTTTTAGTCTAACAGACTACACAAATGCATCTTAGTTTTTCTTTTAAAGTAGATTTTAAAGAAAAAACATTTTGAAAGTAGATACGAAAAATTTTCTATTCAGGAACATAATCTTCCAAGGTCATGACTGAGAACTACCCTAATATTCTAGGTTTTCTCCCAGCCAGCCTTTGATCATATTCTCCTTTGAAAGTTTTTGTTTTTTATCATTGTCATTCGTATAAACTATATAATAGTATGAATTCGTAATTATTTTTCAGGGTGCTGTTTCAAGTCACCAATCAGGCATGAATACTAGCTCTGGTGGACATATTGAAAAAACATTGGCTTGAGCTGAATTGAACTGGCACTCTTTTTCCCCTGTATTCATAGGAAATAGAAAAAATTTTATGATACAAATAAATGTAATCAGGTATTATGCAATGTTTATATGGTCTTTTTACCCAACACCTGGTAATAAGTTCTATGCATGTCCTCAATTAATACCCCAAAACTGATGAAAGCTCTTCTGTCAAAAGTGTTATAGATTTTTCTGGGTCATGTTTCAACAGTATGAGATTGATAAATAATTTTGGTTAGGTAAAAAATGATGAAATTGATTTGGGAATGGTGCTGGAGATAAAAATAGTATGAGAAAGAATCTAGATAGGCAAATAAACAGTATAGGTATCAAAAAGAATAAAAGGAAATGTGTATTAAACCCAGGAGCTATTACTACTATTACATTCATACTGTAGACCAAAATGATAAACTGGTAGGTTTTTTTGGGGGGAAATGTGATTATTGTGAATTATTGAAATATTTATGTTCATCATTTTGCATTTCAGTGCTTACCTGTTCCATCTTTGATACATGTCTTTCCATTTCATTTATTAAGTTATGAAGGTCAAACTAGGATTAGCAATATAAAATGCCCAGTAAAAGTAATTTCTAAAGCAAAAATGAATAAAAAATTCTTTCTAAGCAATGTTTTTGGAATTATATGACATGGCAGAGTTTGTGTACTCTGCTATATCACTGACCAGTTGGATTGATTGAGTTTTTTAGATTGTTGGGCACTGAAAGGGAGCTAATGCCTCTATTTTTGGCTCATGGTATTGAGATCAGAACTGTTCTTGTTATAGATAACTTTACTATGAATTAACCCATTAAATGTATCTTGAAGTTACATATTTTTATATAGTTTTGCATTCAGTGATGACATTTTTTGTATACTTTTGTGCCATTCATGCTATCAGCTTAAATAGATGTGATACATAAGACAAGTTCCTCTATTACTTATCTAGTTTGGACAAAAATTAAGTACACAGGAAGTTATGGAACAGCAGAATGTATACATACAAAGTACTGTATGAATTATTGAAGTTGCCAGTTTCATGTCTGAGGGGGAGAGCCAATAGAAATGTTCTTAGCCCCTGTACAAAATGGTCATGTAGCCTGTCTATGGGATTCTAATTAATTGTCTCGATTTGCATTATCAAATAGTAACCACTAATGACAAACGGTTTCATAATGAAATTTATCAATCAAGCCATATCTTGGGTGTTCTAGAATCACATGTTTTCAGATATTTACATGGGACAATGCCAGTCTAAATGGTAATATGGACTCGGTAATGTGCTTGCTAATTGGGGGGGAAAATCACAGCATAGATTTGAAAGCATTTTTAGCAAAATTTTTTTGAAACAAAGTTTTATGAATTGAAGAATAGTTACAAACAACTATTTTCCTGCTTTTTTGTTTTTAGTAACAACAGAAAAATTATACACACTTTACATTGTTGAATCCAAAAAAATCGAAGATAATTTTTTCCCCTGTTTATTTACAGTGTTGGTAACTGTGACCAAAGAGACTTGACTTGTTTTTATTGTGGGTGGAAAAGCTATAGGTGTTCTTTTTGTTCAGCTTGAGGCAGATTTCTAAAGGGATGATCCAAGTTATTAGATAAGTTGTTAAGCATGTTCTTTGCAGGTCTGGTTCTTAAGTTGGTGACAACATCCGTCTTAAAATCTCCGGTTTCTGCAGGCGCATATACTCCACATACCCTATCAAGAAGACCTCCCTCACCTCACTTGCTCTGTTTGCTAACCACATTTCTGCTATTTTTTTGTGCTTTGCTTAGGTAATTTCCATTTTCTTAGTCTGGAACATGTTTTAAAGAACACTACTTGGGCTGGGGTTGTAGTTGGTGGAGCGCTTGCCTAGCATGTGTTAGCCACTGGCTTCAATCCTCAGCACCACATAAAAATAAAATAAAGGTATTGTGTCCATCTACTATAAAATTATTAAAAAAAAACACTACTTGGATCCTAACTTTTATATTATTGAGATTCCTGAAAGAGTGTTTTTTTTTTTTTTAATGTGCTCTCCAAATGTCTCAAATCTCACTTAACCTTCATTGTACCTCACCATTCCACTGATGGCTGGTGACTAGTGACACCTTGTAAGAGGCTATGGACATTTGTTCCATGCCTGGATATCTTCATGGTGTCTATCACTTTTGCTTCATCCAAGTCTGTCTCAGTGTTCTGCTTAGTGTACCCTGGATGTTCGTATTACTACAAAGATGAAGGGATATAGAAAACTGGAAAAAGTTATCTGTTGTTACTCATTCTCTGCCTTTTTAATACCTTTTTTGTTTCCGTTTGCAAGAATGTTTTGACGCTGAGTGTAAGTAGTTAATCATGTCTTTAATAGAAAAAAAATTTTCGTGCACATCATTCTTAATGTCATCAAATGGGTGATATTATTATAGGACATTTCACTTCCAATTCTTGTCAAGTCAATACACCATGAATACCTTTGCACAAAATTTTTGTATCAAGATTGTTTTTAAGAACAGCATTAAAAACATTTTTAAACAGCAGTTTTAAGAACAACATTCTACTCAGCAGATTGTAATCGAAGAGACTGAAGTAGTTCACAAATAAGTTTAGCTATGTTTCACAAATGTATAATAGAAGTCTTCTATATGTGAGGCATTGTGAGGCACATGTGATATACAAGTGAACAAATCCGCGAAAACCCTTACCCTTACGATATTTAAGGGTGGTAGACGTCAGCGATTTTACAGAATGCCTTTCATTTGTTGTTCCACCCCCCTTTCTCCATTTTTTTCTTTCAACCCTGTTAATGGAAAAGATCACTTAAGTATTGGAGCAGTGTTGAGTGTGGGCAAGGGAGGAGCGTGGGATTGGGGGTTGATGTTCTGGAATGTGAAGGTGTATCTTGAGAGATATTTTAAATAAATGTGAAAAATATCATTTGGCCAGTTATGTCCGTGTTCATTTTTAGTTTTCTGATTACCGGAGTTGGAACACTCAGATAAAAATGTGTGAATGTTGGCACACAGCTCTATAAAAAGATATGGAGAAATGACCTGATTGAGCAACCCACTGTGAACCTAATATTTGGAATTTTAAAACTAAGACACTTTCTGCTGTTGAGTACTGGAGTTGAGTACTGGAGTTGAGTACTGGAGTTCTCAAACTTGGAGAATTTTGAGTGCGGGAGGATAATTTAGAATGAGTTTATTGGGTTCTCCATCTACCGGAAGTTTTGTTCATTAGATGGGGAGTGGGTATATATATATATATAAGATCTTAGGTATATATATATATCAGGTATATATATATATATATAAGATCTTAGGTAGCATCCTCTTAGTGATGCAGCTGATTTGCATTTTGAGTTAACCGTAGAAACAAGTAGTGTAGAGAAAAAAAATTGAGGTGTCATCACGTGAAAGCTGGAAAAAACACGCTGGGCCCGGTGTACGTGGAATCTTGTTCTCTGCTCCACGGGAGCCTGACCACCTCCTACACAGGGCAGCTTCCTAAACCGGTTGCTCCGGGAGCGCGTGGCTGGTTGTAGCTCAGGGATCTCCCACCTCCGTAGTCTGCGCGCACGGCCGGAAGCTCCGCCTGCTCCTAGGCTAATAGCCAACGTCGCCAGGGCCGGAAATGACGACACCCGTGAGGCCTCTAGGGCGGGGCCTGGGACGGGCTGCTCTGGAGGCCGCGATTTCACATCGGAAACAAAACAGCGGCGGCTTGGGAAGGAACATCGGCTGCGAGCGGGTTGCGGCGGCCGGGAAGGAGAAGGTGCGTGATCCGGTGTCTAGGGAAAGAAAAAGGTGTCCCTAACTCGGTGTTGACAGAGGCGGCCGCAGACAAGGCCCGGTCCTTTGTCGCCGCGGGTTGCGGAGCCGGTGTCCTCGAGGATGAGGGGCGGGGCGCGGCCGGGTGGAGACCGAGGAACCTCTCGTGGGAAACGAGGAGGGGCGGCCGGTTTCTTGGGTTCCCGGCGCGGCGCGCGTTCAGGTTGGAGATTCCCCTCCGATCTTTGGCCTGGAAATGCTGTCTTCCCGAAACCACCTCTCAGGGTGCAGGTGCTTGGAGTGGAGCAGGAGAAAGAGGAAGCGCCCTGGGCTGGGTCGGCTTGAGCAACTGCTGAAACTCGCGCTTCATGCTCAGTGTCCTTTCCAGAAGTGAGTGGCGCTCAGGGCCAAGTTCCCCATGTCTCACATGCCACGGGAAAAGCTGGTGTCTTGCTTTTTCCTTGATCGAGATTGTCACGATGCATGTGTGTTTGATGCTTGCATGCGTCTTCAATATTTGCTTCTTTTCCTTCTGTCACATTCTTTTCATATGCGTGGCACTGTGGTGGTTAAGAGTTTCGCTTTAGGCACACCAGTCTGGTAGTGGAGGCTGGAATGGCTAAGAGAATTGAGGTGACTTTTGCATAATTCAGGTGAGATAATGAAAGTTCGATCTGCGGTGTTGGCAGAGGCTTAGGAGAAAAGGACCTGAACTAAACATAAACGAATTGAGCAGGGAATGAAGTGTGAAGTTGTGTAGGAGGTTTTAAGTTTAGAGGATGGGAGACAGTATCTCAGAAATAAGGAAGTCAAGAGGAAAGAAGTAAAGAGGAATGACCAGGAAGTGGTTTGGAAGTATCACTTTTAAAGTGTCAGCAGGTGAAAATGCCCTGTGGCCAGTAAAGGAACAGTAAATATGAGTCACTTTGCCAGTTGTTGCTGGATTAATGGAGGATATACCTAAGAGAAGAAAGGGAAGGCGGAGGCCAAAGACAAGACTAGGGAACATTTATAATAAGGGGGCGATACAAGGGTGAGGAGGCTGTTGAGGAGAATGAGTGTGGGAGGAGGAGAAACACAACAGGGCAATGTCTAGAGCAGCTGAGGAAGGGAGGGAAGCTTCAGGAAGGAAGATACTGTCAGGGATTTGGAGTGTTTGGCCTGCTGTAGCATAAAGAATGGAAAATTTAGAGCAGCACTGTTCAGTAGAAACAATGTGAGCCACAAATGTTAATTTTAAATTTTGGTATAGACATATTTTTAAAGGTAACAACAAACAGGTGAAATTAATTTGAATGGTATTTTATTTAACCTAGTAT